AAATAGAACTATGAAAGATGCACTGCAGTAGGACCCATGAGGGGTAATTTTAGATTATTTGCTTTAAGGCATTTACAGCATGGTGTGGCTAAAGCTGATAGGCCAAAAAACACTTATAATGAATTGTAATTAAGAAATAATTGGCTTCTGATTGTGATGGCATGAATTATAACATCTGGATTGTCTCACCCTTCACATGAGACTGAAAATAGAATAGTTTTTAAGAAGAAGTTTTTAAAATGCCTCTCAGTTGCCCATCTCTGGGTCAGAAAAGGGCTCAATCCAACAGCCCTCCTGCCTGCCCAGGGCTGGGCTGCCTGTGCTGGAGGGGAGCTGGAACACGGGGAAGGATGGGATGAGAAACAGCTGAGAGAAATCCTGCTGGACATCCACCTGCTCTCCTTGGGAAAGGCATCTGAGCTCAGGTGCTCAGCCTGACTCCTTTTCCGACCTGTTCTGGCTGCTCTGGGCTATTTTAAATAGATCTGCCCCGCCCTCTTTGTCCAGGGACTGGGATGTGTTGCCCTGCTTGGTGAGGTCCCTGCCTGCCTCGTTGTTGCCCTCACCTCTCCTTCCCTGCTGGAAAAAATTTCTTTTTTGGTGGTGATGAGGACTGAGCAGCAGTCCAAAAAACGAAAAAAATGAAGTTTAAAAACGGTGAAAATACTCCAGAAAAGGCATAGATATGAGGGATGTGGTTCAGTGCTGGACTTGGGATGATGGTTGGACTCAATGACCTTGGAGGTTGGACTCAATGACCTTGGAGGTCTTTCCAAACCTAAATGGTTCTGTGAGAAGTGGAGGATGCTCCTCCATGGGTGGCATCACCTGCCATCCTTCTGTGGACTATTTTCCAGGGTTGTGTTCCAGCACTGGGATCATATCAGCATGGCCAAGCACATAAACCCTGGGATATTCCCACTTGGAAATATAATAAGAAAGCACATGAAGGGAACATGAAGAAAAAAAAAACTCATCCTACTATTCATAGCTCCTTTAAAAAATAATTTTGCCCTTGGCAGGCAGTTTTTGTTGCCACATTTTGCTCCATGTTTATTTGTGGTTGCTGGGAGGACAAGGATTCTCGGGAGATGTCATCCCAGGGGAAGGGATGCAGAAATGGGTGTAAGCCCATCAGAATGGAGGAAAAGGGAGATTTGCTTAGCTGTGCCCTTGATTTCCCTGCTGCCTGTGTCTCAGCAGCTCATCTCCTGAGTCCCTGAGTGCGTGGGGGCAAATAATGACTCTGCAGATGCACAAATACAGCAGGAACTCCATAACCCAGAGACTACGGAATGGTGGTGGAGAGGAGCTCTGTTACTCCCACACTTTGGAAAACCTTGGAGACCCTTTCATTCCCTGGAAACTGGCTGTTGCAGGGATTCAGAGTTCAGACTTATGGCTCTGGGAAAAACAATCTGGATCAGGAAAGCACTAGCAGCAAACCCTTCTTCACTGGGGTGCAGGCACACTCCTGCCACAGCCCTGCTGGCTGCAAACACCTCGTTCCCAGCACCAGGTTTGGGTTCCTACCATCCTAGGGATTTTCATTCTCCTACCTCCACAAGACAATAAATGACTTTAATTAAACCAGCAACCTGAAGAAGGCTCTTGTACTTGTGTGGGTGATGTGATGTTGTTATATTGGGGGGTTTTTTTAATGTCTTTTGGCTTTTTTTTTGACGTCTTTACTGGCTTTGAAGCCGAGACGTGCCCTTGCTCTGGTAGTTTGTTTGTTCTGCAGCCTGCAAATGGGTACTTGAGCACCAGCAGCTGCAGCCACAGCCCTGGTCAAACTGGGAGAGATTCTTCCTGTGAATTAAAATGAGATCCAGACAGTCGTGGGACAGATTGGAGATTGCCCCTGAGTTTTCGCAGTCTCTGTCCCTTTGGGGCTGTGTCAAGGTCTCCTGTGGCAGCACAAACCCTGCAGAATTCCATGCAGAGAGCGTGAGATGTTCCCAGAGCCTGTGGATGCTGTGGGAAGCAGGATGCCCAATGAGGTACAGGGATGTGTCTCCTGCAGAGGCAGAGTTTAGTGAGAGCTGGCATGGAGATGTGCCAAAGGATTGGGATATCCATGGAAAACACACACAGGGCTGCACCCAGAGATGGGACCTCTTTTTTAGTCCCACATATCATCCCCTCCTTACGCTGGGCTCTGCACAATGGCAGCCTCCAAAAACAGTTTTGACAATTATAGAGATGATAACTCAAATTATAACGAGAGCCAAAACGAGATTGCTGACTATAAGAAGCCAAGACCTTGTAATTATCTATTTACCTTTAAAAAAATATTATCTTGATTGAGCTTTGCAAAATTCAAATGGCAAAGGGCCAAATTTTAATCCAAAAGTAGTTGTCTACCTTAAAAGCTCTTCCCCAGCCAGACAAAGTCCACCCTGCATCCACCCTGCTCTTTAAGGGCCTTTCCCTGCCCTCGTGCCTGTATCAGGCCATGTGTGAAAAACGCCAATCGCTTGTTTTTAAAATTTTAAAAGTTTAATCATAAAAAAATAGTAATATAATTAGAGTAATAAAAATTTGAACAATTGAAATTAGGACAATATAAGACAGTAAAAAAGAGTTACAGACAGTCCGGGTACCTCTTTCTGGGCAAAATAAGCCGGAAAAAGGACCCACATCAACAGAGGATTAACCCTTAAAAGCCTGTTGCATATTCATACAGCTCATACATGATGCATAAATCCATTCAAACAAAGGTTTCTGGCTGGTCAGTGTCAACTTCTTCCTCTGAATCCTTCAGGGCTGAGCGAGGTGGGAAGAAGTTTGTTTCTTCTGATAATGGAGCAATAAATTCTCTTTCTCTGAAAGATTTAGGTGTCCTGTGGCTGCTATCTGGTGCAAGTCCTCTCATTTAAAAAAGTATCTTACATAGCATAGTTTCTATTTAAACATTATAACCTAAAACTATATTTAAGAAAATGAATACAGGACAACTTCCTAACATAACACGTACAATATTCATTTTAATATTTGCCAAAAGCCAATCATAAAATACACATTTTTCACAATGTCGCCGTGTCCAAGTGCAGATTCCCAGCTTGTGCGTGTGCCCAGGCAGCAGGGAAAGCCAGGAATGATTTGATGGATGCAATTCCAGCCCCGTTTCAGATGTGAGCTGCATCCTGCTGCTGGCAGAGCGCAGTGCAGTGGGTGGGGAGCTGCACAGGCTCTGCTGAGCTCATCTCACCTCACAGGGCAGTGAAGGAGACTGGGTGTGCCATCACAGCCTGGGCTCCTCCTGTGTGTTTCCTGCACAGGCTTTCCAGGCTGATAGGGAGGGTCTGGAGGAGCAGGCTGGTGTTTACACAGAGCTGCCTACAAGGGGCAGGGTGCCAGGGTGGTGCCAGGGAGGAGCCCACACATCTGCAGCTCAGCGATTCCCTGGGTGTAATTCAGCAGCATTTAGTCCCCTCACGTGGATGGATTTACCAAAAAGGTGAGGAAAAGCTTAAAATGAAACCCCAGATGTCCCCCAGTGCACAGCCCTGATGTCTCCAGACCTTCAGCTCCTGAAGCACTGCTGGGCAGATGTTTCTGAGCAGGGCCTGGGTGCAGGGGGAGAACACTTTGCTCATGACTTCTCTGCTGCATGCTGAAAAAAAGGAACCAAACACCTCCCCCAGAACCCCAGCATCCTCCTGCAGGTGGATAAAACCTTCCCTCCTGGCAGGAGCCAGCAGATATTTGGGGACACCTTGGTGGCTGTGTCGTTGTGGTGGCAGCAGGCAGGGCTGGGTGACACACAGGGACATGCAGGCATGGTCAAAAGTCAGTGGGGCGGGGATAGAAATATATAAACATTTCCTGGAGTGCAGATCTTGTGACTCTGCTGCTTGGAGGAAGAGGAAGGTGCTCAGCCCCTCTCTTCCTCCTCTCCAGGGTTCTGCTGTCGTGACAGGGGTGAGGAACTTGAGCCCCACCGTGCCCAGAGGATGCTGTGCTGCTTTTCTGGCCAGGAAAGTAACGTGGATTTTTTCCCTGTATGGCAAAATGTATAGAAATTAATACAAGGAAATTAAATGCATTGGAATAAATGAAATACTGTATTTATTTGTTGAAATCCTTGAAATTCTGTGTTATTTCCTGCTGGAGGCGGGGGTGAGGATGGGGGGGAAATAAAACAATCTTTGGCTTTCCTGAGGGTAAATTAATGTAAATTTATACTTTTATTTTACACCTTAAGACTTCTCTATCACTTTCCTGATTTACTTAGGTAATTTATTTCCAGTTCAGCTTGTCAGGCAGTAACTCCTCAAAGTGCTGAACAGAAAATGGGTATTGGAGCCCCACTTTTTCTAGATACCAGCTAGATAAAGGCAAATTAAGTCCTACCTGATCAATTTCCTAACGTGGTGAAAAGCTTAGGAGAGGCTTCCTGTCAGGCAGGGTCTCCTCATGGCCTGTAGAAGCAGGAGGGATTAAGGATTTCTGTCTCACTCCAGGTGTTGGATCAGAGGCAGTCAGGACTGTGTGTGGCTGCCATCCAAAACTGAAGGGGAATGCCCATCTCCACCTGACACTGATGGCTTATCAGGTAAGCTGGGACGAGTCTGAGATGACACTCACAGCAAAAGCAGCAGGGACACCTCCCTGGGCCGTGAGAGGGGCTGGGGCCAGGCAAGGGAACAAGGATCCATGAGTGCCAGAGCTGTGCTTCTCCCCAGGCCTTGGCTCTCCCAGCTGGCACTGGCACTGCTGTCCTCAGCTGCCCCTCACACAGGACACATGGAGTGTAAATGGTGAGGTTTCACAGGCTAATGAAACAGTATTTTCTGTTCGTTAATCAGGTGAAGACCACAGAGCCCTCAAAATGCCCCTAATGTGTTTCGTGGGCATCATCCCTCCGCTCCAAAGGCACTGAGCACTGCAGATCTCCCATCCTTCTGTGGAGCCCCGGGTTCTGGTGGTGAACTCCCTCTGACCACCTTGGAGCTCCCAGCTCACAACAGAAGAAGGCCTCCTCCCCTCCCAGAATGAATGAAGCAGAAGTCCTTAACTCACAGTTAAATGACGCTGTGTACGACCAGGACAAAGAAGCTGTGCTGGAGCTGCTGGAGCAAGGGGCAGATGTGAATTCCAAGGTGGACCATGGCTGGACACCCCTACAGACCGCAGTGAGAAAGGGTGATGAGGAGCTGGTCCGGCTTCTGCTGGCCAGGGGAGCTTCCGTGCACGCCAGGAAGGACAATGGTGGCACTGCCTTTACCGAGGCAGGGATCGCAGGGAACGTGGAGATCCTGAAGCTCCTCCTGGAGCGTGGCTCAGACATCAACGAGCAGGACAACAACGGCTTCACAGCCTTCATGGAGGCTGCGTGGTACGGGAAGGAGGAAGCCTTGAGATTCCTCTACAGCAGAGGGGCAAAGGTGAACTTGAGGAGGGAGGCCAGTGAGGAGAGAGCCAAGCTGCACAAAGGAGGTGCCACAGCACTGATGGACGCTTGCAGGGAGTGCCACTTCTCAGCTGTGAAAATCCTGGTCCAGGAGATGGGGGCTGATGTGAACATCCGTGACAACAGAGACAGGAACGCCCTGATCCACGCCCTAAAGAAGGACTCAGATAAAAGAAGGCATGAGTCACCTGTGCCCATAGTTAGTTTCCTGCTGGAGCACGGTGTGGATGTGAAGAGCAAAGATGAATGTGGGAAAACTGCCCTCATCCTGGCTGTTGAAATGGAGAGCCCGGAGCTGGTGACAGCTTTGTTGGAGAAGGATGAGATAGACATTGATGATGCAGATGAGGAAGGCAACACAGCCCTGATGGTGGCTGTGAACAAAGATAATTGCAGAATAGCAAAGCTGTTGTGTGAAAAGGGAGCGAGGACTGACCGTGGGAACCTGATGAGGGTTGCAAGGAACAATCGCTCTTCCAGCATGGAAAACCTTCTTCGTGAGCACAAGGTCAGGCTCGCCCCAGAGACCCCCAGAGCGTGGGAGCCAAACAGCAAACGCTGGAGGGCCCAGCTGAAAAAACTTGATCAAATGTATCGCCCCATGATTGGCAAACTGAAGACATTTCCATACTTCCAGCAGAAAATTCAGGATGGCATCTACCTTGGGCTCCACGGAGGGACAGAGGTGGCAGTGCAAATAACCTGCAGCACAGAGGGTGACAAAGAGAAAGAGTTCCTTGAAAAATGTTCTCACAGCGAACATCTACTGAAGCTCTTCCAGTCCGAGAAGGAAAAAGGCTGCATGTACTTGTGCTTCCCACTCTGGGAGAAAAACCTCCAGGAGCACCTGCAGGACCCTGAAGGCCAGAAGGATTACAAAGCTGCTCTGAAGATCATCTTCCAAGCACTGAGAGAGCTGCACTCCCTCGGATTTGCTCACCAGGATCTACAGCCCGGGAACTTCGTAATAGGTTATGCTTTGCTTTCCTTATGTTTTTGTTTTGCTTTCTTTGTGTTTTTCTCTCCCTGAAATTTAGAGAAGGTGCTTCACAGCTGTCTGTAAAAGTAGAGATGGCTTTGTGCTGAATGGGGTGGTTTAGATCTCCTCTTTAAATAAGTACAAATAGGCCCACAGAGAGAACAAGCTTACACATCCCTTTAGCTCTGCAGGCAGACCAACCCATCACAGGTGCTTCCAGAGAACTGTTTTTTAAAGAAGGGGGCATCCAGAAGTCAGCAATGGACCGTATGAAGGTTTGCCACCTTTATTTGCTAACAATTTCTCTTATTTCCCCAGATTTAGGTGGTAAAATTTATTTGGCGGACTTTGGTAGTGAAAGAAGGTCGATTGAAGGCCAAGAAGAATTTGTAAAGTCAGATTTACAGGTAAGCTCTCCGTGAACCAGCCTGTGGTTTAAAATGTTGGGTGCTCTGTAGCTGTGGGTCCTAGGGAAAGGCTTTTTGCATTCCCAACTAGAAAATGCTTTCATTTGTGGGGAAATCAGCGTAGGGACAGATGTTGCATAAGAGGGATGTTGATTTGGATGCCCATCTCCTCTGTCCTTGTGCACACAGCTTCGAGGTTTGTACTGGGTGTGTGTCAAGTCTTAACTTCTTTTTGCCAGGGTTGGGATGAAATGTGTAAGATGGTATTTCTTGTTGGGACTCAGATGTTTATTAGTTCTTATCCATGTCACAGTCTCACAAACCCTGAGTTCTACAGCACTTCACTCTAACAAACTAAAAATGGAGCCATGTCTCTCTCTCTACAAGGCCTTTTAAGGATAAACTGTCCAATTAAGAAGTGACACCTGAATTATTTTCACTTTTAACCCAATAGCCAACCACCCATGCCTGCAATGTGGACTTTTTTATCCAATTACACAAAACCACCCAGACCCATGGAGAGGAAGGTGAAGAAGGACCAGTCACTGCCCTAAAACCTCCATCTTGCTTTATAGATATTACTATATTCTAGAACCTTAAACTCTAAGTTTTCCACCATGTGATATTGTACACTTTTAATCAAACTCCACACCCACAATCCCAGTTCTATCATTCCATTTTGGAAGCCTTCTCCACGGCCTCAGGTCAATGCAGAGTTCTCTTGGGGGTCAGTGCCTGTCAACGCAGAAAGTCTAAAATTCTCAGTAACCAGGGTTCCAACAGGTGTGTATTTTACACTTCTGGGCCCCTGCAGGATTTGGGGATACTAGTCCTCTTCCATTGGGCTGCAGGCTGGGTGCCTGTGGCATGGGAGCAGTGATGTCTCTTTGCAGGCCCTGGGCAGGCTCGTGCTCTACGTTTTAACAGGGGGTAGGAAACCCCTCCAGCAAGTTGGAATTGAGGATTTGCCTCGCAATTCCCCAGATTACACAGAGGCTCGGGACCTTGTACAAAGCCTGTTCTCTCCTGATGAACGAGGCTTGGAAGGGTTGAGCAAACATCCCTATTTCTGGAGCAATCAGAGGTAAGGCCTGGGAGTACAAAGGAGGTGGAATTCTGGTGGAATTGCCTGTAGTGCTGGGAACAGTTAGGTACCACTGCAGCTAATGAAGCTTCTCATCCCACAGCAGGTTCAACTTCCTGAAGAGTATATGGAATAAAATCAAAGATGACCGAAAAAGAAAAAGTATTTTTCGAGATCCTAAGGCTTTTCCTTATCCACAGTGGACCAAAATGGTAATCCTCTTCAGTTTGAATTGGTTTCAGGTTTGAGCTAGACATTCAGGCAGAAGATTTTCTGAGTGTTTAAAAATGGAACTGGAAAAAGTAGCCCCACACAAAATACACACAACTGGAAAAAACAATTCAGTTGAAGGCACATAGTCAGAAGATGCTGATGCTAAAGGGAGCTCTGCTAACTGGGGTGGTAAAAGGAGTTGTTCATTATTGAATTGGCTGGCAAACCTTCAAATTCTATTGGTTTTTGGGGGGTGTGAAAGGCAGGGAATAATCTGTGTGATTTCTTTCAGATTGACAAGGATGTTTTATATGTCATGGAACACCCCAGGAATGCAAAACCTACCAAATACGGAAATGATGTCACCCAACTCCTGAGGCTCATGAGAAACATGGATGAACACAAAGATGAAGGGTAAGTGTTCTCACCCTTGCCCCTGCCATGGTCAGAGAGTATCCTGAGCTGGAGAGGACCCACAAGGATCACCAAGTGCTGTCTTTGCCCAGGACAAGCCCAAGAATCCCTACCACGTGCCTGAGAGATCTGCCCAAGATGAAAGTGAAAGGCACACGGAGGTGCTGGAGGAATAGCCAAAAAAAAAAAAAAAAAAAAAAAAAAAAAAAAAAAAAAAAAAAAAGGGGAAAAAAAAAATATTGAGGAGTAGAAAAATTGCAGCTCTGGTGTTTCTAGGAAATATCTCCAAGTTATCAGAAAGCCTCCCTGGAATGGCTTTTTCTCTGCAAGGGCATCCTCGAATATTGACCCCTTGGACAAGCTTTAAAAATCCTGTTTGCTTTTGTTCTCTTTCAGGATCACCAACAAAATAGGAGACTATGCTGAGTATTTCCTGGAGGTTTTCCCAGAACTTACCACCTACGTGTACAACAGTTTACGGCAGAACCCCACCTGCAGCCATCTCGCAGACTTCCAGGACCCTTCTCTGTAGGATGTCACTGCCTCCCGTGCCATGTCTGATCCCACCATCACTCTTTTATTTCTTATTTATTCACCTGCAGAAGAGCTGAAGAGGTGGGTAAGGAGTTGGGATAAAGCACACCCAGGGACAGAGTACGGAGGACTTAAATTAGGAAAGATTCCAAAGAGTTTGGTGCAACAGCCACGAGCTTTGGATGTTCTGATTTGCACTGTGATTATATGTTGATTATGGAAATAGTTTTCAGGTGTTGAAAAGGTTGTTTTTTGTGGGGTTTTTGTATTTTTTGGTGGTTTTCTGGGGTTTTTGTGTTTGTGGGGTTTTTTTTTTTTTGTAGTTTGTTGGTTTTTGTTTTGTTTGTTTGTTTGTTTTTTGTTTGTTTGTTTTTTGGTTTTTTTGTTGTTTGTTCCCACCCAAACTGTTATTCTTTCAATGACCCCATGGAGAAACAAACTTGAAATAAACTTGAATAGAAAACTGACTCTATGCTCCTTTAGGAACGAGGTTCCCCCATCCCCTCTGCACATGAAGGGAAGTTCTGCAGCACTGTCAAAGCACCAGCTGCATCAGTGCTCCTGCCTTGGAGCAAAGGTCCTCCTGAGGGTCCTGGGAACCTTTAAAATACATTATGGAAGTGTGACTACACAACTGATGATGGGAAAATGCAACCTGGAGAATGCTGACTCCTCTTGCACCAATATTTTTGGGGTTTTTACCTTTCCTCCCTGTTTTTTTGTTTTTCTTTCTTGCTCACTGTGCCTTTCTCATGCCCAGAAGGCAGGAGGACACCCAGAGATGCTGAGTCTCAGCAGTGGGGGGAAGCAGGGGGCTATGGGGTGCCCCGTGCCATGGCAACATTTCTGCTCTTGCATGAAGAGAAGTGAGGCCACGGGCTGGGCTCCTCCAGCCTCCTGTGAAATGCCACATTTCCTGCTTTCTGTGACCTTTGCAACTTCTTCCATCAGTGTGCTAATCCACTGAAGGGCTGGGTCAGGATAGGCATATGAGCCTGCACTGTGGCTGAGGCACTTTCCTTAATGGTGAGAAATGAGTGAGTTTTCTATTATTTTTTATTATTTCTTTTTGTCACTGTCATCTACAAAATACGCTGTGTTTAAAAGAGATCCATGCAAATATTTCATTAACATGCTTTAAACATCACTGCATATTGTCCCAGTATGAAGAAATAATGTCAGGGCTCTCAGAATTTTATTTTTTTTTAATCAGAATTTTCCCTTGTGGGACATCTTTATTTTGGTCCGACGTAGAATCCATCCCCAACTAAAACCCTTCAAGAACAGCACCTGAGCTATCTTTAAAGGGATTTGGTGATTCCGTTCCTGTCCCCATGTCATTGTGGGGAGAATCCTGCTGTGGCAGCAAAAGGGCACCCTGGCTGGGGAGGCACTAAGAGTTGGCACAAGTTTTTGCTGTTCCTGCTGTTCCACAACAGGCAGCCTCAAAACAGAGCAGTGATTAAACCCAGCCAGGCTGTGACTTATCTCTCTGGCTGGCTCCTGTGCTCTGTCCTGGTGTCAGAGAAGAAACCTGATCCATGCACAGCATCAGCACAGCAGGCTGCTCCTGGAGCATCGGTGCCACGGCCTTCCCCAAAAAAGCATCTTGAAAAATACACCTCGGGGGCACAGACACATCTGTGCTCACGCTGGGTCACTTCAGCTCTTTGTGTGGGGCTCCAATGAGAGCTTTACTAAGCTTCTTCATCAAAAGTGTCCAGGACTGAAGAGCCACTCCAAGAGGAAAAGCAGAGGTTTATATATGGATTTTGAGGGGCGGGGCAGAACAGCAGGGCCAATGGGATGAGGGCATAGGGATGGAAGGGCCAATGGGATACACTTAATCTGCATGTCACAGCAAGACATGCTGGGAGAAGTATTTTTCCTCACCCTAACAAGGTGGTTATGGCTTGAGGGGTTTTTCTCTCCAGGGCAGGGTTATGGATTTTCTTCACACACGGCCCATGGGAGGAAGGAATGCAGGACTGGGAGCAGGCTGTTGGTCTCTTGTTCCAGGCAGCACTGACACAACCAGAGCACACAGCCTCAAGCTGCACCAAGGAAATACAGGTTGGATATCAGGAAAAAGTTTTTCACATAAAGAGTGATAAAGCTCTGGAATGGCTGCCCGGGGAGGTGGTGCAGTCACCATCCCTGGGTGTGTTTAACAAAGCCTGGATGTGGCACTGGGTGCCAAGATTCAGTTGAGGTGCTGGGGCTGGGTTGGTCTCGATGATCTTGCAGGTCTCTTCCAAGCTGCTCATTCTGTGAATTCTGTGAAAAACACCAGGCTGCCTCTCCCAGGAGGACGGGCCAGTGAGACACCAGGCAGGACGGAAAACTGCCGGGCAGCGCTGCAGCTGGTGGTGTGGCAGTGTCTGGGGCACAGCCCGAAGATGGAGCTGTCCTGGGGAGCTGGGGGCAGAACCGGCTGCCAAAATTAGTGCTGTGGCATGTCCCAGCAGCAGTGCCCACCTGGGAGGTGCTGCCTTTTCCTCAGGCAGGTTTGCAGCCCACGAAGGGTGCCCAGGAGTGTGATTTGACCCCACACGCTTCATTGCCAAATGCTTCATTGTCAAATGCTGTCCTGCCTGCATTTGCTGTGTCTCTGCCTTTTTCCTCTGCTGGGGCTCCCCAGGACAGCTGGCTGAGCCCAGTGATGGGATCAGGTGCTCCCTGTCCTGGCTCCTGCATGCTGAGGGTGTACATGCTTGTGTGCACAGGGATGCTCCCAGCTCCCCGTGGCTCATCTGCTGCTCTGAAAAACAAACCCACAAAGCAACCCACAGAAGCAGTGGAGTGAAGGCTGTTCTGAGGCTTTGGTTTTGCTGTGCTGAGCTTCAGGCACATCTGTGAGGCTTTAGAGAGCCTGGGCTCAGCTGGGCTCGGGAGTGTTGGTGAAAAGCACACAAAAACACAGCAACGTTTTGAGCCTGAAAGCTTTCGGGGCAAAATCAACTTCCAGAACAGCAGTTCTGAGAGTTGGTCACATTTTGTGTTGTAGGAATGGTATCGGCTTCCCAGGCCCTTCAGTTCAATAAATGTTCTTGGGTTTGGGTATTTTTCATCCTCCAGAGGCAAAGTGTTGATAATCAGAACTGATAAATATGAAACATGTTGTCCTCTGCCTTAAAATGTACCTGGTGTTATTCCCAGGATGCATTCTTCTAGGATCTGGGATTAAAAAGTGGATAAAAATAGCTCAAAATGACAAAGCTGAGAGCTTGCCTCTGACAAACTGATAAAGGTCTTTTCTTCACAAGGTCCAAAGAATATTTGTGGTTTCTGCAGCTTCCTGGTGACTTGGCAAAGTCACTTTGACTCAGTTTCACCTGGGGAAAATGAAGGGTCTTGCTATGATTTGGTTAGTGCTTTGTAAACACACACTGGCTTAAAAACAACCAACAAAAAACCAAAACCTCACCAAAAAAGCATGCTGAAGCCCCAGTCAGGCATGAGCAGATTTTTGCTGGAAGATCAGAAAGGCTTTGGCAAAAAAAGGCCCCATCTCAGCAGCCAGCTGAGTAAGTGAACCAAATGGGCTCTCACAGGAAGTATTTCATTTGTGTGGGAAGGTGAGGAGCTGCATCTTACAGATGCACGTGAGGAAGGAGATTTGTGTGGTGTTTCAGCTGGAAACATGTCACAGCACGTCCCTGCCATGGCTGTGAGCTGTGAGCTGCTGTGCTGCTCCAGGTAAGCTGGAGAATGCTGTGAGTTGCTTTATTTTTAGTTTCTTATTGCTGAGTGCACACAATTCCCTGTGTCCAGGCTGCTCAGCTTCCTTGGATCACACCTGTGTGGGTGTTGTTTTGGGAGGGCTGAGATTCCCTTAGGTCCTGCAGGGAAGGGAGAGGTGCTGCATCAGTGGCTAGAGGCAGGTGAGGGTGATCAGGGACCAGCACAGGGCTGTGTGTGCCCAGGGAGGAGTTCTGGGCATGAGGAAGGATCAGGGGTGCTCACAAGGAGGAGTTTTGGGCATGGAGAGGGATCAGGGAGGCTCCCAGGGATGAATTCTAGGCATGGAAAGGGTGAGCAGGGGTGAGCACATGGCTGTGTGCTCCTAAGGAGGAGTTTTGGACATGGAAAGGAATTAGGGATGCTCCCAAGGAGGAGTTCTGGGCATGGGGAAGGAGCAGGGATGCTCCCAGGGAGGAATTTGGCCATGGAGAGGGATCAGGGATGTTCCCAGGGAGGAGTTCTGGGCATAGAGAGGGATCAGGGATGCTCTCAGGGAGGAGTTTTGGGCATGGAGAGGGATCAGGGGTGTTCCCAGGAAGGAGTTCTGGGCAAGGAGATGGATCAGGGATGCTCCCAGGGAGGAGTTTTGGGTATGGAGAGGGATCAGGGATGCTCCCAGGGAGGAGTTCTGGGCACGGAGACGTGCAGCAGCTGGGAGTTTCTGTGACTGTCACTGGAGATTGGGGCTGCCCAGCATCCTGCACCCACCCCTGTGATGTAGGGGAGCCACAGGCTGTGCTGGTGGGGTCTGGAGGAGGCGAGCACCCCTGGGACCACCTACCCAGCCTGTGGGGCGGGCTCCCTGAGCGAGGGCCTCTTCTCCCCACCGGGATCTGCAGCTGAGGGGAACAACAGCACAAAGTTCTCACCAGGGCTGCTGCAGGGAGCCCTCCAGCCCAGCTCCCGTGCCCACATCCCTCAGGAGCAGGAGGGCTCCATGCAGTGCTCCATGCAGTGCTTCCTCACCTTTTTTCTCCTCTGGAGGCTCCGTTTTCTTTGGGGGCCGTGGCAGCAGGAACTCGAGGCCTTCTGACATTGTGTAGGTGAGGACAGCCTTTTTACCTGGTGAGGGAAGAGACATGGAGTGCTCTGATGGCAAAACAGGGGGGACAGCACTGGTGTCCCCCTCCAATCATTTGAGGTCACCCAGAGCATAAGGAAGGGTGGCTGAGCAAGGACTTGAGATCTTGATGGCAAAACAGTTTGGGGGTGACATGTCCCACCCTGGCTCTGTGGCAAGGCTGGGTGGCAGAAATGGGAGATTTTATTTATTTATTTATTTATTTTTAAATACAGGCTCATTAGGAGCTTTGTCCTCAAATTTCTTTGGATACTCTTTACTAATTCAGCTTATGCTTTTCTCACCTGCCAAGCTGAAGCATTCTGAACCACATTAATGGATGATTGAGAAAATAAACTGGATTTTTTTTTTTTCTAGAAAAAGAAAGGTGTGCCAGGCTTTGTGCCTGCCTGGGCAGCTTGTGCCCTGTGGACAGTGCCACAGTGATGCCTGGTGATGGCAGATGGGTCCCTGCCTGCCACCACCCAGCCCTGCTCAAACCACGTCTGCACATCCCTCACAATAAAAGAGAAGGAGATGAGTTTTTTTTCTGCATTTACAGGCATTTTCCTCAGCAATTTTGGGGCTTTTTAAAAGGCAACAAAACTTTTTTTTTTTTTTCTGACAGCTCAAAAGCAAGTTTTTACCTTAAAGGTTAGAAAAGCAAGACCCTTAGGGAAAGGTCATTGGTGGAAGCATAAAGTGCAGAAAAGTGTCTTGGGAGCTGGAATGGACATCAGCACAGTCAGGAACAGCAGCTATTTTGGGTCACACATCTTGTCCCCCACATGCCAGGCAAGCTGAGGGATTTTTTCCTGCCTGGCTCCTGTTTAAAATGTTCCTGTTTTTTCTGACCCCATGTCTCACTCTTCCCTGTGAGATGCAGCAAGGAGAGGTGGCTTCGGGAGTGTTGTCCCAGGGACAGTCCCTGTGGGAAAAATGTCCCTTCTGGAGAGATCAGAGTCTTTTCCAGGTGTCCAGAGCAGCTCCCAGCGCAGTAACTCTCTGTGGCTGCAGTTAAACACGGGCTGTGCTGCTTGGGACTGCCCCAAGCCTTGCAGAGTTTGCACTGATTTAAACACAGAATAATTTGTGTTGGAAGGGACCTTTCAGGGCCACCTAGTGCAGCCCCAACACCTTCCACTAGACCAGGTTGTTCAGAGCCCCATCCAACCTGATCCTGAATATTCCCAGGGATGGGGCTGCCACAGCTTCTCTGGACAACCTATACTGGTGTTTTATCACCCTCTAGTGTAAAACACGACTTCCTATCTCTGATCTGAATCGGTTTGAATGTCACTCTCTCTGCTCCCTGAAGACCCTGGCAAACACTGTCCTTGTCCAGGCACTGTAACACAAGGTTTCTGGCTTATCACCAGCTTGGAACACATGTGTGATAGATGAGGTTTTTCTGGGGGTTTTTTGGTGACTTTTGCATTAAAACGACTACGTTTGAGAAGGTCCTGGAAGACCTCTGTAACAAGGGAGAGACCCAAGCTGGAGACTGGATGTTGTCCATGGGAATAGCCAAGGGGTGAGGTGGTTGGAGCTAAGGACATGGCTTGGCATTCCTGGGGCACAGGGCTCTGTCTCCTCAGCCCTGCTGTGCAGCAGGAGCTCAAGCACCTGCCTGGAGGCATCCAAATCCTCGAACTCTGCTGCTTTTTAGCCAGAGCTTGACAGTGATAAATGACAGGGAGCAGAACAGCAGCTTGCTGACACCCACTCATCCGTCAAAGCAAGATTAGTATGTGCCTATTTTGGTTTCCCCTTTAATCAAAAATCAATTAGACAATTTCCAAATGAATATTCAAGCCAAGGAGCGGGCTGTCAGGCAGACTGACAGCGCTCAGCATCACTTTGTGTTTTCCAGTTTAGAGTCATTCAGTGTATCAAAACTAAACAAGGGGACGAGGAAGAAAAAACATCTCTTTCCCTGGAGATGTCACCTCAAACCCTGATGGAGCTTATTCTCCATTCCAGATATTCAAAGCACCCTCCATGGAATGCCTGGTGTTTGGCTGCACAGTTGTTCTCCTTTTCCTGCTCCCATTTGACTTGCAGCCCAAAAGATTATGGGTTTTTATTTCTGTTTCAGGGGGTGTGCCTGACTATTTTTAACTTGGCTATTGAAATAAATAGGAATTATGCAACAGCTCTTTGCATGGGAGGTCTCTGTGCTCACTTCCCTATTCACCAAAGAAAATTTCTAGAATCCTGCTGGACAGTTTTGACTGATTTTGACAGAAAAAAAAAATTCCATTCCGTTTTCCCAGCAGGCCTGCACCACATGCACCCTCAAGGCTGTGTGAAGGAGGGGGTCTTTCCAGGGCAATCTAAAAGATGTCAGGTCTGGGTGTTCCTGCACTGGAAGAACAAACCTGGACTATAATGTGTAGTAGAGGGAATGGCCACCATCTTCGTGGGCCCGGGTGTCTTGGGTGCTTTGGAGGAGCTTTTTCCAGGAGGTGAAGAGGCCGGAACCCTGCCCTCCTTGCGGCCCCGGGAGCTCCTGCTCCCCTTGGGCTCCTGAGAACTCCTCTCCTGCTGTTTGAACTGGGATCTCCTGCCTCCCTTGGGCTCCTGAGAGCTCCTCTCCTGTTGGACCTGGGATCTCCTGCTCCCCTTGGGCTCCTGAGAACTCCTCTCCTGCTGTTTGAACTGGGATCTCCTGCCTCCCTTGGGCTCCTGAGAGCTCCTCTCCTGCTGGACCTGGGAGCTCCCGTCCTCCTTGGTGAGCTGAAAGCTCTCCTCCTCCTGATGGGTGCTAGAGCTCATGACCTCCTGGTAGGCCCGAAAGCTCCTCATCACCTTCCAGGTGCAGAACCTGCATGAGAAACACCGGGGACAGTGGAGCTCTAAGGAGACAATTCCAGCTGAGCTCCTGGGGAACGTCTCGTCTGCATTTTCAGCATGGCAGAGGAACAAGTGGCTGGAGATAAAGGGTGGCATCCCCAGGGCCTCCTCCACCTTGGCAGGGAGGGGATGGATGGCTACCTTCTCCAGAAGTACATCAGGATGGGGAAGAGAGCGACCTTGGCGTTGTGGTAGATGGCCCGGGTCAGCGGCCCCTTGGCAGATGAACGCCAGATTAAATCCCTCTCTTTCTCAGAGATGTTGACCTGGGCACAGAGGAGACCAAAGCACTTTGCAGCACTCCTGATGGGGCCAGGTTTCTCTCCCTGACCCCAACTCAGCAGTCTCTAAGCAAAGACCCAAATTTCATCCTGGCTGCTTGCCCCAGCCACAAGGGCAGGATCCCACCTGGATTTCTGGGGAAAGCATTGTGCCCTCCAAAGGGGAAATGGCAGAGCTACTGGGAGGAGATGGGTGGGTGCAGTGGAAGGGGATGATGGTGACACGGCCTCTGAGGAGTGAAAGGACTGGATTGGTGGTGTGCAGCACCATCCTGGCACTCCAGGCCTGGCATTGCCCCACCAGGTAATGTTGGAGAATCATCCCCATCTCTCCCATCCTTATCCACATGCTTATTCTCAATTTATCAGGGCCTGCTGGGGGATTTGCTTCCCACCCCTCCCAGCCCATATGGAAGCCCAAAAGCCCCCCCAGTAGATCCAGACCCCTGCCTGTTCCCTTTCCCCACCACTGTTCCCAGCTGTGCCGCCATGGCCTCGAGCAATGAGCAGCTCCACCCTTCCTGGGCAGGTCCTGGGGTCTCACCCGCAGCTTGGGGGGGACGTCAGAGTTCAGGAAAACTTGGCTGATGACCTCAAGTTTCTTTTTGAGAAAGGAACTATGCTTTTCTGACTGCATATTGCAGGGTGTTGCAGCTTCCATGCAGTCAGCCAGCCTGGAAAACCTGCAAAGGCATGTGGGGTCTTGCTCTGAGACAAGTGCTCCTTAACTGCTAGGCTAGACAGTCCTGTTCTTGCTTAATTTGGTGTGGGAAATGGATTTGTAGAAAATTCTTAAATTCCTTTGGCCTTGCAAGAAAGACCAAGTACTTTGGAGAAATAGAACTGTGAAAGATGCATTGTAGTGGGACCCACAAGGAGTTATTTTAGATGATTGGCTTTAAGGCATTTACAGCATGGTGTGGCTAAAGCTGATAGGCCAAAAAACACTTATAATGTATTGTAATTAGGAAATAATTGGCTTCTGATTATGGTGGAGCGAATTATAACATCTGTATTGTCTCATCCTTCTCATGAGACTGAAAAAGGAATAAAAGTTTTTAAAACACCTCTCAGTTGCCCCATCTCTGGGTCAGAAAAGGGCTCAATCTGACAATTTGGTATTTGCTTGGCCAGGAAAAGCAATCCTCAACCCTCAATCGTCAATTCTCAAAGCAATCCCTTGGACCAGTGACACAAGAGGTATGAAAAGCCACCTCCCTCTTCTGCCACCCTCGTGGTCACAGAATTCCCCTGGGCAGGTGATGTTCCCTTTTTTGGGAAACTGAAAGATGGGGATTTTCCTGCTGTGGGGGTGCTGGCTGCAGGGCTGGTGCCCACTGGCCATGGATTGGTCTTAGAGGTTTGTTGGGTACATGGACAGAGTCAAGGGAGAAATGCCACCACAACTGGGACATCCAGAACGGTGTAGCCAAATGCTGAATCGCTTGGGACTACCAGATGGACCAAAAGGATTTCAAACAGGAACCCTGATCCAGGGCGTGACTGCAGGCTGAAATGGGAGCTTTGGAGCCCCCCATCACAGACGAGTTTGGGCCAGAGCCAAGGCAGGCTGGTGCCAAGGCCAAGTTGGAGAGAGCTCTGAGCAACCTTGTCCAGAGGGACACATCCCTGCCCAAGGCAGGGAGCTGGAATGAGATGACCTTTAAGGTCCCTTCCAACCCAAACCATTCTGGGATTGTGTACCACGAGGTACCTGAGCACCTGTTGGAAGCAGAACTTACTTGTCTATCTCCAGGTAAAAGCGGAGGTCGTCAACGAGGAAGCTGACGACGATGAGCTGTTTGTCCAAAATGCGGCGTTTGACCAGCGTCACCTTCTTCACCTGCCCTTTGCCCTTGCCCTTGCCCTTGCCCTTGTCCTTGTGGGAGCTCTTGGCAGGACTTTTGCTCTTCTTCTCCTTGACAGGCAAATCTGAGGCAGGGGAAGAGGTTCTGCGTGCTGCTGTCCAGCACTGGCTTTGTTCCTTCACCTCACCTGGGCTTCCCTTAGCTGCATGCAATTTGCTGGGGCCTTTCTATCTCTGTGAGCTACACCTTCCCTCCAGCTGAGTGATCTCCTTCCCTCCTCTTTGTACCCACAGAGTGTTTATGTCCACTGTTTCCATAGGGAATGGCCTGTTGCTAAAGCCTGCTGGTCTATCTAGCTGTTGGCCCTGGCTCTGACACAAGCAGATAATCAGTGAGAATGAAAGGGAAAAAAATCTGTTTCCCCCATATACAAAATTTTCTTAATCTAAATAGGGTTTCTGTGTGTTTAGTAGATTACTTTTCTAACTGCTTTTCCTGCCTCCTCTCAAACCTGCGTATAAACTTTCTGTTCAGGTCAGCTCCCTATTGCCCAGAAAACAATTTCCTTTTGTTTATTTTCCTGGCCTGTCTCACCTTAGCTCCATTTAGTGTTTCCTGTTTTGGGTCGTTGTTTTTTTTGTTTTGGTTTGGTTTTTTTTTGAGGCAGGGATGCAAACTTGCATATACAACATTGCTTGAGAGAAATGCAACAGCATAACAGGGCACTGGTCATGGTGGTGGGAGGTAAAGAACAGGTTTTCTCCATTTTCTTCTCTATCTAAACCCAGGGGTGTCCTGGGGAGGGAGGAGCAGGGGTGGCAGGACACTGGACATACTTTCCCTCTTGTTTCTTCGCTCCTGACGGAGAAACTCCTCAAATTCTGCACGCCGTGCGTGATTCTTCATGTCCCTCTGGAACTTGCAGAAGCTCCTGACAAGCTCCCGGATGGCATCCCAGGCCCATCCCTGCAGGGACACAGCACAGGTGGCATCAGCCAGGGACTGCAGCACTGGGGCTGAGCCCTCCTCTTTGCACCCACCACTGCGAGCTGGAGCAGCCGTGGCAGTGGGATTTGTGAGCCAGCCATCATCTCTGCTTTCCAGCATTTCTCAGGTTCCCTGGTGGCCACAGGGGATGGTGTGAATTGCTCAGCCAGTCCTGAGCCTGCAGGAGGGAGCCTTTCCCTGCTGCCTCTCTGTAGCTCTCCCCCTCACCCCATTTATGTGGCATCTTTGTCTCACAGCACCTCCTCTCTTCCTTGCCTGGTGAACACCCTCAGCCTGGGAGCACACAGGGTCCTTCCTTACCATCCTTGGTGTCTTGAGGTCCTCTGGCCCTTCCTTCACAAGCCGAGGACGCCTAGACCTGGGCTTTTTGCTCCAGGGAAACAAATCCTCCTCCTGCTGCTGTTCCTTCCTCTTCTGCTTCTGTTTTTTCTGCTTCTCTTTCTTTTTCTCCTTCTCTGTATTTTTCTGCTTCTCTGTCTTTTTCTTCTTCTCTGTCTTTTTCTGCTTCTCTGTCTTTTTCTCCTTCTCTGTCTTTTTCTCCTTCTTCTTCTGATAGTAGGGTCCTTCCTCCTCTTCCTCATCCTCGTCATCCTCATCATCCTCGTCATCCTCGTCCTCAAAGCTGCCAGATGGGAGAACAGAGAGAGCATCAGAGGCATGAGGAGGGCACTGGTTTGATGGAAGGGGGGCTCAGGTGGGGAGCAGCTGATAGGGGATAGCCCCAGGGTTGGGGTCCCACTGGATTTCTGGTCCTGGAGGAGGTTGGACAATGGCAGAGAACACTAGATACCCTCCCCTGGACTCTCTTCTTGCATGTGGTAGCCTTGGGAGTGTCTGTCCTGCTTATCTGCAGTGTTTCCTCCTCCAGACCAGCAGCCTGCAGACCCAGAAGCCATTTGGTAGGTTTGGGGTGAGGCTCTGGATGGAATACCACTGCTGATGGGCCATAGAAAAATGCATTTATAGCAGTTGCTGTCTGGCCCCTTGGGGTGGGATGGATGTTGGGCAGGGTGCATTTGCATGACCGGCTGAAGAGATCAGCTCAGCCCAGGTGCTCAGCATCATTTTTCCATTTGCTTTATATCCCCATGCAAGGACTCATGGCTGGAGTATTCCCAGGAGGTGAGATGTGAGTCCAGAGATTTAAGTATGGCTACAGTGTGATTTTAAGTGATCCTTCTGGGAATCTAAGCACTGCTCAGGTGGCATTCTGGGGGTTGACTGAGGATGAAGTGCACGAGATTTGTACAAGGTGTTAAGAGTAAATCTGAACTGGGGGTGGGGAGTGTTAATTTTTCTCCTCTCCCTGGTAATTCTGCAGTTTAGACCCACAGGCCACCCTACATCTGAGAGGGCCAAATGAGCAGTGGCACTACAGGGGAGCACTAGGAAGAACCTGAAAGGTCTTTGCTCTGGAAGGAGCAAAGCTGTGTGCTGCAAGGTGCCAGACCTGCGTTTTCTAGCTGCCCTCTTCCTTGCAGCAGCAGCAGCATTCTCTCGAGCAATCCTCTCCGATGCAACAGCTGTGGGGACAGAAACAGGGCTGGCCTCTTCCTCAGGTGACAGCCAGAGATGACAGCAGCCAGCTGCACCCTGGAGCCTCCACGTGGTGTCTCTGTGGTGACTCTGGCCCAGGAGATGCTGTGGGAGCTCTTTACTACAGGGATACTGGGACACAAAAGACACACGATGGACTTTGGACCTGGTTAGCTTAAGAGATTTGGTAACAGGATGCCTTGGCAAGAGCAAACAGAACTTAGAGGATTAAATCAAGATTGCAAGAAGATTCAATCAGACAGGTTTAGTGGAAAAAGAAAATGACATCAGACTTCTGCAAGCAAGAGATGTTTAAAATGTGTAAGTTTGTTTATACAGACTTTGATTTTTAACCCAATCATTGTCCTAAAACATTACTAGCCTTCCTGAAACAGTCTATAAGCATTTGTACTCCACAATAAAACTGGATTCTTTGACCACCTCACACTCTCCTCATCTCTCTCATCATCGCCGATGGTTCACCTCTCATGGTTTGACCTCCTCATCATCTGCTTCAGAGAAATCCCCCACTGCCACCCTCCCTGGCTGGGTTAATGCCCCAGAGCACAGCCTGTGGTGGGTGGATAGGCCTTTCCTTCTGGAGAAGCTCCCCAAGGGTGATGGATGTCTGGGAGCCCACCTGGTCTCTTGGCTGGACTCACCGAGTGCTGCGCTCATGAGCTGCAGAAGCTCCTCTTCCTTGCTTGGGCTGCCCACAGCCAGCTCATCTCCTATCATCCTCTGGAATTCTGCATCAGAGAGAGGAGAGGGACAGAGCCCATGTCCATTACCTCTGGTTACAACAGCCCTTCAGCACTGGCTCTGCGGGCTGGGTTTTGTCACCTTCCCTGTCCCCTTGTGTGTCCTGCTCCATGATCTACCGTGACACTGCATTTCTTGGGTAAAACTGAGGGCCCACAAGCTACAGGGGTGCTACAGGTGACTGCTGTCACCCTCAGAGCAGCACAGGTGCCTAGAAAATGGGTGTCATTCCCAAAAGATTGCACCACAGAACAAAGCTGAGGGGTTACACCAGTAGCACCAGCATGGCCAGTCCCAGAATCCTCAGAAGGCCAAAATGTGGAACTGGGGTGGCAGGAGCCACTGCTGGCTTTGGGCTTCAGTCACTTTGCTGCAGCTTTCATTTGATCTGGTGAGCCAGGCCAGTGCAGGGATGTGGCATTTGGTGCCCCTGGTACTGGCAGGAGGGAATCTGGCCCTTGTCTAAAATCCCAGTGGACAGTTTTGACTGATTTTGACAGACAAAAAAAAGGCTGCCAAAGCTCTAATTACAAATGAAAGCTCCCAGACCCACTGCACCAACCCACCCCGTGATGTCCATCACCTGTTCAGGGCTACCACCAGAGCACAAAACATGTTTTACTGGCTTCAGCCAATGTGAGCCCCACCAGGAATGGAGAGCCCCCTCTTACCAGCGCTGCCCAGGAGCAGCTCCATCTCTGCCTGGATGGAACCCCCTTTCTGCAGGTCCTGAGCAGCAAGCAATTGCCAGTGCTTGGAGGAGACCCCCTCCAAGCTCCTTGTGCCATGCAAGGCCTGGCTCAGCTGCAGGGACTGGTTCATCCTCTGGGACAAGTGGAAATGTCCCCATCTGGCAGCAGCATGGCCTGGCACTTCAGCCATGGGGACATCCATGCCTGGAGCCTGCGGGGAGAACAGGGCAGGGTGATGGCACAGAGCACCTTCCTCGCCTCAGGTTTTAGCTTTTTATTGTTCAGATTCTATTCTGCTTTAGTGTGTGGGTCTGGGCTTCGTATTAGGGGATGGTGAGCTCTCTGCACAGAGCAGGGAGACAAAACAATTCCTTCTCTAGCTGGACACCAAGGACAAATGATCCAAATCTCAGCCCAAGAGCACAAACAGCGTGGGCTGAAGAGAGAAAAACAAGAAGGATGGGACTTGATAGGCTGAAGCTGGAATTGGACAATTAACTCCAATATGCAAATGGAGCAGAACTTATAAAAGTAAGGGACCCCATGACCAGTTGTCCATTTTGTGACCATTTTGGGTTGTGCTGCCCAAGGTGGATCCACTGAGGCCTCTTAATAAATCCCTACTTTATTCTTTAGCTCTGTCTAGTCTCTCTTCTAGGTCAGCCTGCATCACCCACGTGTTTTACTGCACCTCAGACCACAAACCTGCCCGGTTTAGACCTCTGCCTGAGCTTTAAGCGGTCTGGAAGGAATCTGTGAGAGCACAAAGCCCAGCTCCAGCTGCCTGGGATGTACAGGCAGCCAGAGGCAGGCCAGACACGGCCTTTCAGCTTTCCTGAAGGGCTCAACACCCCCCCAGGAGGGCTGGAAACAACCCTGAAGGTGTCCCCAGCAGCCTGGCAGCCTCGTGTGCTGTTTTTGTTGGCTGTTGTCACCGGGGCCGGCTCCAGCTGGTGCCCTGGGAGTGCCTCCCTCATTCCCCCAAACCTTCCTGCAGGTTTTGCCTCTCCCCAAAGACAAACAGTTTGCACAGCTCTCCAAGCAGCAGGGGTAGAGTGGCTGGTTTCTGGCTGGGAGCTGAGAGCAGGCACCAAAAATAACCCTGCTAAGCTGCCAGCAGCTCCCTGACACCGGAGCGGGAGCGCCGGGAGGAGTTTGGCTCAGGGGATGGTGCCCACAGAGAGCAGGGCCCGACCCTGCTGAAGTGCTAATTGCACTCCCAGACCAGCTCTGGCCTCGGAGGGGAGATTTCCTCGACAAGAGGTGCTTAAAAACCTGGGCAGCTAATTAACTTCCCACTAAGAGCAGTTGGGAGCTGCCAGCTGACTTTTCCAAAATGCTCGGCTCTCCCTGGCTGAGGCTCTGGGAGCCAGGTCTTTGAGGACACCAAGCCCTGACAGCCTCTCCTTAACATTCCCAGGATCAGCTGCTGATTTTACATTTCTTTTTGGGAAAACAGTTGGTTTGAAGAACGCCATCTGCAGTGAGAAGAATTGCCTGCACAGGTTGTGCAGGTGGGATGCTCAGGGGGTTCTGCCTGCAAGGAGGTTTCTGGGTGTAATGATGGCATTTGGGGAGTTTTTATGGGATTTCTGATGCCAAGAGGAATAATAGTCTGGGAAGAGGGCTTGTGTGACTCTGATTTCGTATATAATTCTTTTTGGTGGGAAAAAAAAAAAAGTGGAAAACTTGAGGGTGGTTGAATCATAGGCTAAAAGGCTGCATGGCCTCTTCCCCCTGTGCTGGCCAGGCACTGGTGCTGGGGCAGGGTCATCCCATGTGTGTCATGCACACGAGTCACATTAATAGCAGTAATAATTACACATTAATAGCGTGGGCAAGGAAAAAAAGGGCAGATAAATTCCCAGAAGTGCTGGGCTCACCCGTGCCTACCCTAAAAGCCTGCAATTACATTTCTCCCGGCTTTTAGGCAGGGTCACAGCTTGTCTCAGGGGAGCTCTCACAGGTTGTGCCTGCAGTGCTGCCAGCTGAATGGGATGCTGTGCTGGAAGAGCTGAGGATCATTGCTCCAGGCAGCTGGAGCAGGACAGGATCTGCTGTGTCACCCTGTGGCAGCACTGGCTGGGGATATCGTGGGATGCCAGACCACTGCAGCTAATGCTGGGCTTCTCCTCCCTCCCTCTCTTTCTCTCCAACTTTTCACATCCCCACTGGAGCCTGCACACCCCCCAGGGGATGCCCCTGTGCATCCCCCTTACCATAAACTGGAGGAATGTCCTGTCATCAGCGGCCAGAAATTCCTCATAGAGGCCACAGAGCACCTGAGGAGGAGCAAAGGGGGATTGTCCTCAGGCAGGGTCACAGTGCTGGTGCCACGTGTGGCTCACAACTTGCTGACATGCCCAGGACATGCCTGCACATCCAGCTTGGTCCATGGGGCTGCCCAGAAGGGCTGGCGTTCTAAATGGGGTTCTAAATGTGCTGGAAGCAGTGATGGGTGCAAAAGCATGGCCACTGCCCTGTCATCCCCAGCCCCTGCAATGTGCACCCAGCCAGGGTCACCAGAGATGTTCAGCGGCTGCCCAGCCCTGCTCTGCTGCCCAGCAAACCAGTGAGGATGCTCCTCTCCACTGGCCTGGCCCACTGCAAGGTGACTGCAAGTTATTCCCTTCCTAATCCCTTTTCCTCTTCTTTATCCAAATGATTCACTTCCTAAACATCCCCACAGCCCTCACACCACCACAGGGGTGCCAATGGCAGCTGTACCTCCCAGCCTGACTGCTGCCAGCACCCCTGTGTACCTTACAAATCTCTTTCTGGGCTCTGAATATCCAGGGGGAGAATTCTCCACATATCAGATGGTTCCACAAACTGACGAGAGTCCTGGTCTCCAAGGGGAGCTTCTCAATGCTGCTGTCCTCCAGGTAGGTCTTGCAGATCTTTTCCCCAATCAAATGGCGCAGGAAGAAGCTGTTTTCTCTGTTGGAGTCCAGCACCACGGGCAGAAACTCCTCCAGGTCTTGCCACAGATCCAGGAGATGAGTCTCCATGGGCCGGTTCTGCTGCTGCAGGAAATCTCTGAAGGGTCTTCCTGCACAGGCCTCGGCACTCAGAGCCCAGGGAAGGAAATCCAAGGTCTTGACTGGCTTTTTCAGGGATGGTAGCCGGGCAAGGGATGCAGAGGGAAGCAGGTCAGAGAGGATTTTCTCCTTACAGACGTTTTCTAGATCCTGCTCTGCACTGGACTGAGGTCTGCTAGGAAATGTTGCTCCTCCTCTGCCTCCAAAGGCAGGATGCTGTGACTGCTGGGGAATCGATCCCAGCGCATCCTTATCCAGACACAATTCCTCCCTGCTCCCAGCTGCCTCTGGCTGCTTCTCTGCTTTCACCCGAAAAGTGGCCATTTTCAATTCTTGGATGTCTCTGCCCTCCTTGACCAGAGCCCAGACCTCTGCTTTGGCCTTCTGGCTGCAGTAGGGCCCTGGCACACCCTGGCTCCTTTTGACGTGCATCGTGGGGAGGGGCTCTGAAGGGCCTGGGGGCTGCTGCCAGCCAGCCTGTGATAAACGTTCCTGATATTCCTGGAGCAAAGGCCAGCACGATTCCTCTTCCTCCATTCCCATCTTGCAGTGCACGAAGAATTTAGGGAGCCAGTAACTCTGAATCATAAAAAGGACCTGTTCCTGCATCTTGCTGAGGATCTCCCTCCTGGTGCTGATGGACTGGATGTGCCTGGCTTTCGGAAGAGATCCTGAGATGGATGCAGGGAGTTACGACAGGGAGATGGCTCCGTGCAGGCTGTTCCCCAGACAGGGGATGGCATCCCATCCCCCTGGGAGCAGCCAGGAAAGATCCCCTCTCTGGAAGGGCAGTGCCCATCCCCAGCTCCAGTGTCTCTTACCCACGATGGTGGTGCAGAAGGTGATGACACTGGAGCCCTCACGCAGGTGAGTGGCTCTCAGCCTGTGCACCAGGGACAAGAACAGCTCCCTCTGACTCCCATCTGACTCGTCCAGATCCAGGAGCCTTTCAGTGATGAGCCAGAAGTCGATCAGTTCTTCCCCTACAGATCAGACAGGGGATGGGAGCTGGGAGGAGCCCCTGAAAGCTCCGAGGGTGGATGAAGCAGAACCGAGGGAACAGAGCAGAGAAAAGCCACGGCTGTGCATCTCCCTCCCAGCTCACCTGCTTTCTCTGGCATCTTACCCATGCCCCCAGCTCTGTGTCAGCCTCCTGCCAGGCAGGTGGCCCGTGGCTGGCAGGGAGAGGGCTCTGGAGCATCCTGTGCCCACCTGCTGTCCCTCGGAGGAAGGCGCAGAAGTGCCGCATGCCCTGTGTCCCGCCGATGCATCTCTCCAGCAGCCACTGGTCAGCACTCTGCCAGTTCAGGAGCTCTGCTGTGGGACGCAGAGCACAGATGGCATCAGGGGTTGCCGGCCAGAGCCCAAGGCAACTCTCCAGCTCCCACCCTGAAAGAGGTGGGGAGGAGACCAGCAAATCACCCTGAACTGGGAGTTTTGGACAGGCTGTGGGATGCACACGGGGTGTTTGCAAGGATAACTCGCTCCTGTCAGGGACAGCTTGTCCTGCTCTTGTGCCTCTCTTCCTTGCAAATGCCCACCTTTGCTGTCCTGAGTTTGGGGCTCACCCTCAGCTTCCTCCAGCTTTGAGTTTCAACCCGACTGGAGAAGCAGCAGCAATATACTCAGGAAAAGCCTTGGTGAATTGTTTTTTTCCTGAAGTGAGAATCTGTATTCCTGCTGCCAGAGCTTTCTTTCCAGTGGCAGTTGACACACAGGCTGAGGAAGAACCTGGCTGGACTGAGAAGGCTCATTTTAGGGGCAAAGTGAGCAAAACCACGAGTTGTTGCCAGTAAGAGAGACCACAGCCTGTTTTCCCAGGGCATCCCTGCCCAGCGGCAAACCCAAAACATCGGCACCTCGGCTCCCCGTGCCCCTCGATGCTCTCCAGCCCCGCTCCAACCCTCGGTAAACCCTGCTAGGCAGGTACTTAGCCAGCCTGCATTAACAGCGTGGTGGGGTAAATCCCTGCACATCCCGCCAGAACCTTCTGCACCCCTAAAAATGGGATGTGCAACGCCTCGTTAGCCCGGAGCAGAGGCACGACCCAGTGGGCAGGCAGCCGGCAGTGCCAGCCCCGCAGAGGAGGAGAAGCCGATCCGATTTCCTCCGTGCCGCGATGACTCACCTGCTTCCCCCGAGCGAATGAAACCCAGCAGCTTCTGGCAGAGCACCAGGTGCAGGCACAGGCTGGATTTGCAGAAGTGAGGCAGCCGCTGCTTTTCCAACCAAGCCAGTAAAGCCGCGGGGCTGGCATCCTGCGTTGCCCAAGGGGAGGATTAGCTGCGAGCAAGGAGCCGGCTCCTGCCTGGCCTTTAGGGTGAGTAACAGCTCCCTGCTCCAGGGCAGGAGGTGGGGAAGGCGCCCTGTTGCTTTATGGCGATGGTGGCACAAGGAGGATTCTCAAGTTACAGCCGCTGCCTGTCCCCAAAACGAGCGTGGCAGCCGCACGGCTGCCTGCGGGGCTGCCTTCCCCTTCCTCGCCCGCCTTCCCAGAGCCTTCCCAGCTCCCCGGAGGAGCGGGGGGGTTCCTCTTTGCTTTGGGATCTGAGCGCTGCAAGCGGCTGTGGGGAACGGGGACGGGTGGGGAGGGAGGGCTGAGCCAGCCCGGTGACCAACAGGGCTTGGCTCCTGTTGAATTCAGGAGGGATCCAGGACAAGGGGCTGATGTTTGTGTCCTTCTGTGCCGCCACACATGCTCTCCTTCGCTCCAGCTCTCGGTGTTTATAGATAGACCCCATAAACTGCAGCAGGACTTTAAATGGATCGTGCTCCGCCCAGGGCTTAAAAGCGAAACGACGGCCGGGGTTGAAAGGATGGCCCAGCTGCACGGGCAGGAGAGCCAGAGAGGGGCCCTGGCAGTGACAACCCGGCTCCTGCCCTGCGCCCTTCCTCCCTCTTCCTCCCACTCCTCCTTTCTACCAAGGGGCATGCTCTCACCAGGTGGCTCGGCAGCTCTGGCCACAGGCACCACCGGCCCGTGCCGCTGATGTAAAGGGGTGTCTGCCCAAAAACCTGGATCAAAACGGAAAGGGACAGCTGAAAGAGGCAGAAGAGCCCGGAGCCCGATGCTCTAGTTAGTTCCCACTACACAGAAGGGCATAAAATTCCCTTTTAGACCCTTTATCTCCAAGGTGAGATCCTCAGGTTTCCCTCATTTTCCAGCCTGAATGTGGTGAACTCCCAGTCTTCCTGTGGCTTCTAATGCCACACAAAGTTCACCTGAGGAGAGCTCTGAAAGGCTTCAGGTTTTATGGTGCAGAGTGCACTTACAGGAAGGTTCAGAAAGATGTTGAAAAAGTCAACAAAAACATCATCTTGCAGCAGCAGCCCTATGTCCGTGGAGGCTATGGATGCTACAGGGGGAGAAGAGAAAGTTACCTGGGCTTTTTGTTGCCAGCTGTGAGCAAGAGGAGGAGTTTTGGGGGGAATCAGCTTTAGGGGATGTGTGGTAAAAGCTTGTCCTGTGCTCATGCAGGGGGAGGATTTGGAGCTGGGACAGTGTGTGAAATGTGTTTGGGAATGGGTGGCACAGGCTGTTTGGAAAGCACCAGGTTCAGGAGCGTGCAGGAGCTGGGGAGTTTGAATGGCAGCCTCCCAAACAGCAAAGGTTCACAGAGGCTGGGCACAAATGCGGTGGCATCCATAGGGCAGGAGAAGGGAGGTGGCTGTAGGGCACAAGCTGTGCTCCTCTGCCTTACCCAGACACTGGGCATAACACAGCTTACCCACCCAGGACTCAGTGCAAGTGTCAGTGGCCAACACCTCCCACCACCCTGCAAAGTTTTATTCATGTCTGGAAGAATCTGGAAGCAAGAAGGTGGGCTGGCATCAGCCCCCTGGTGGGGGGTGCCCCTGGAAATGCCCTCTTCCATCAAGGCACAGTTGTGTTACAGGGAGGACCTATATTTCAAAGCTTAACACTGCTTTTCCCCCCATTTTCCCACCTTTTGGGGTGTGCTTAGAGGGGCTGAAGCCCCCAGCAAAGGGGAACTCACCAGCAGTCATCATGGTGGTGCAGTGTTCCGGTGCTGGGTTCCGAAGTGCCACCCTGATTGTGACACGCTTGTTTGGGTGACTCCTGGGGGTCTTGGGGACCACAGGGCTCTCAGCAGCTCCCTCCAGGCCTGCTTAGCCTGCAGAGGAGAGTACTGAGAGAGGATCTGAAAGAGGGGATGTCCAGAAGGTGGAAGCCAGGCTGTTCTCAGTGGTGCCGAGCAATGGGATGAGCAGAAATTGGAACAGAGGAATTCCCACCTGAACATGAGGAAAAACTTTTTCACTGTGATGGTAACTGAGCACTGGAACCTCTCTGCCCTGAGAGCTTGTGGGTTCCCCCTTAGTGGAGATATTCAAGAACCATCTGGGCACAATCCTCAGTACTGAGCTCAGGGGACCCTGCTTGAGCTGAGGTGTTGGTCCAGGTGGTCCCTTCTGACCTTACCCATCCTGTGATGCTGTGAAATGTCACTTTTTAAATTGCCAGCCCTGCAGACACACTTGGCCAGTCCTGAAATTAAACTCTATTGTATTTGTTGGGAAACTGCTCCGACGAAGGCAGGAAGGATGCATTTGATTCTATGTTTTTAGAAGGTTAATTTATTACTTTGTGATACTATATTATATTAAAGAATACTGTACTAAACTAAAGGATATAGAAAAAGATCCTTACTGAATGCCAAAAAGATAACAATGAAAACTCGTGTCTCTTTTTAGAGTCTCGACACAGCTTGGCCCTGATTGGCTAATGAGTTAAAACAACTTATACTGGAGACTAATGAAATAATCACCTGTGGGAAAACAATTTGCAAACAGATTCTACACATGAGCACAACACAGGAGAAACAAATAAAATAAAAATTGGTGGTTTTTTTTTTTTTTTTGAAGCTTCCTAGCTTCTCAAGAGAAAAATCCTAAACAAAAGAAGTTTTTTAGAGACTATAAATGCCACAAAACCCTTCCCCTCTCCCTGCTGGGGAAACTTCTTGCCTTCAGGTTCCTGGTGGCACCTCAGCGCTGGGTGTGGTCGCTGTCAGTCCATCTGCTCAGCTCGGGATGGGAATTTCACAGGAGACCCCACTGTGTCTGCCCCAAACAGACCAAACCCACATTTCTTATCTGCTGTCTTTCTTCACCAGATCTGGGGCTGAGACCCAAGCTTGGAGACCTTCCAGCTGGAAGAGGAGAAGGAGGTGGAAAAGAAGGAACCCGTCCTGCAGCAGGAGTGACCTGTTCCCTTGGCAGGAGGAGGAATCTGCTCCCCAGGTGGGTGTTTGATCCTGCTCTGGTCTTTGTGCCAGACCTGGGGGCAGGACAGTGTCCCAGCGTGTCCCAGCAGCGGGGCCACCTCACGAGGTGGCGCTGTCAAACCAGGAATGCGAAGCTGTTCCCAGCAGCAGCAGCAGCAGGGCTCTGCATCTCAGACAGCGCCAGGGAGTACGGGACAGCTCCGAGCTGACTGCGGGGCTGGTCACTGTGCCAAAACCCACACTGATGTGGGGAAGGGGCAGCTGTGAGCCACAAAACGCCTGCTCGTCCCAGCGGTGGCAGGCAGAGCTGTGGGAAGGAGTTATGGAGCACCCCGGGGAGGAGCAGCTCCCATCATGGATCCATAAAGATTTCTGTGGCTGAGCTCAAGAGATGAGAGGGAGGGGAAAGGAATGAACTGGAGTGGTGGCTGTCTCACACCTGAAATCCTCAGAGAAAGGTCAAAACTTAAAAAAAAATAACACATTTTCCAGTTGGCAACTGAGCAGATGCCCAGTAGGATCCTCAGGGGCTGGGGTGGCTCCTTGGGTGCTCATCCAGCTCTGGACTGGCCTCAGTGGGACTGTGATGGCTTCTGCCAGGAAAAAAAAAACAAGGTTGTGAGCAGGAATTGGCCAACATGGTCACTGTGGAGAGCACAGGGCCATTTGGCCATTTCCATGGAGTTTTTCCCCAAGAAGGGACTCCAAGAGGTCTGGCAGGATGGAGCTCTCCTCCCCTGGCTGCAGCTTCCCAGGTTTTCCCAGGGCACATGGTCTCCTCACAAGAGGAGCTCACGTGAGCTCGGTGGCTATTTAGGCAAAAAACCAAAAAAATTTGAAAAAAATAAGCGGACACAGGAGCAGAGCCCAGATTTAGAAGGAAGCTCGGAGTGGCTGGACTCCATAAAAAGATAAGGTTCAGGGTTGCAACATCAAACACGTCAGGAGGGCTTCTCTGCCCCAGCCCAAATCACCCACCCTGACGTGGGGAGCAGCCCTGAGGTGATGAGGGGCAGAGCCTCATGTTCCCAGAGGGGATGGGCTGGGGTTTTTCTCCTTGCCCAACATCAGCTGGCACTGCTCCCCAGCGTGGCAAAGTCCAAGGCTGCCCAAACACAGTGTCAGCCTCGCTGCCTGGGGTCACTGGCCACTCACAGCCCCCCCAGCAGCCCAGCCTGGCCCGTTTGGTGCCATCAGGAGGGTGGGGGGTGTTTCCCACACACCCCGAACATCTCAGCATTGCTGCTGGCTCGGGGTGATGGTCTGGAGAGGCAGAAATCTGGGGAACTCCAGCCTGAGTGCACAAACCTGCTCTCCCCTCTTGCATAAGTATATAAGTATATCCCCACCATGAGCTTTTGGGGGAAGATTTGGGGGTGAAAAAATCCCAAATTTTCATCCCTCTTTTCATGTAAATAGTATATAAGTATATCCCCACCATGAGCTTTTGGGGGAAGATTTGGATTTTTTCTCACCCCATACAGCCTCATGCTCTTTTCATATAAATAATTTATAGGACATTAGGCCCACAGCACCTTAAAAAGTCGAGTTGCCCAAGGCTGAGGAATTCCAGCTCAGCCTTAAATATTAATTTCTTTCTTGAACACACTACAGTGATTTTTCATGCTCATGTGACTTCCATGCTCAGTCCCCTGAGCGTGTAAGATCTGTTTGCTCAGCAAGCACACCACTGGTGTTTCCTTGGGGAGTATTTTTGAGCCTGTTGTCATCTGTCTGTGGTTTCCTTGCTTGGGACTGTCCCTTACAGCTGACAGCCCCTGTGGCAGGCTCTGCCTTCACTTGTCTCCCCTCCAGCTGAAGCAGAACCACTGGTGTAACCTTACCCCAGCCTCTGGGGCTGTTGACTTCAGCAGCCTGGGCTAAGTATGTGTTGTGGCAGGACAGGGACCTAATTCAGCCACGAGGGAGGGACATGGGCAGCGGCACTTTGCTGTTATAATTAATAATTTTTAATTTTTATAATTAATATTAATTTTTAAATTTTTTATTTTATTTTATAATTTGCAATGTCAGGCCCAGATTCACCACTTCATCCTCTCAGGCAGCAGTTTGAGGATTTCTGCCCTCTCACTCACGGAGATGTGAAGTGTGTTAGGCTGAAATTAAGGTGCCAGCCACAGCTAACGCAGCCCCAACCTGGCTGGGAGCGCTTTTAAACGGTGTGAACTGAAAATGAGGGGGGGAAAAAACCCCAACAAAAACAACCCTGCACAGCGTAACCGATTTCCAACGGTGGGGAAAGGCATGTGCCGAGCGCTCCCTGGGATATTCTCCACCCTTGTACAGAACGAACTGAGCCAAGCAATTTCTGGGTCTCAAATCCCGCCTGCCCCTGACGTTCTCATCTTCCAGCTTCCCCCCAGCCCTGCTGAAGGAAAGGGGAAGTGCTCGGGGAAGGTGCTCGGCCCCCGGGCGAGCTCTGCGGAGCACAGCAGGTAGGGGCTGCCTGCCGGGAATGCCCCTGGATCCGGGCAGGGGGCTGCTGGGGCATGGGGCAGTGCCATGGCTCCTGGGAAGGTGCCAAGCCAGCCCTGGGCACGGGGACAGGTGGCTCAGAAAGGGGTGGGGAGGGAGGTGGCTGTAGGAATGTGCTTCTTGTTGACGGAGTGACAAAACTATTTTTTGTCTTTTTCTTAAGGAAAAAAAGCTTAGAAGTTTGGTTTTTTTTTTTTTTAAGGGTTGGAAAGAAAAAAGTTTTAATAAAAGGCAAAATAACAAAGCTCTTTACAGAGAAAACCCGAGCCAGGTGCAAGAGGTTCTTGCTCCTGATAAAACACCCCACAAAAGCAATTAGTTCCTTTGCTCTCTTCTTTTTCTAGTGAATTGCTTAGGCAAGACTTTTTTGGCTCCTGTCCAGTTGGCTATCCTTAAGTTTGAAGTGAAGTCCCCAAAGTCCTATGAGGTGTCTTTTTACCTAATTGAAGAAAGAACCTGCTGGCAGCACCTGGGCTGTCCTGGGGGCCGTGCCCCAAGGTCCCTCTTCCCTCTGTGCGTGGTCCAGGGAGCTGAATGGGGAGGGAGGTTTTTTTTTTTTTTTTATCATTCTGCGTGTGCCTCTGCAAGTTTGCACTGATTAATTTGCTTTCCTAAACTGCCCTTTAGCGCAGCCCAGGTGATCTGCTCTGGAAAGGCTGAAAGCCCTCTGGCCACCAGCCCACGGCCACCCTTGACCCTGGCAGCATCTTCAAAGGGAGCATGGGGCTGCTGCGGAGCGTGCAATGTTTGCTCACAGCCAGGGCCAGCAGCTGCTGCCTGCCTGCCTTGGGGGGTTTCGTCAGCCTCCTGCAGCGCTCCGGGGGACACCGCTCGGCCACTGCTGCTTGCACAAGGTCAGTCCCCCCAGGGCCCTCATCCCCCACACCCCACGGTGAGCTCCCCGGGCTCGGTCACGTCTGAGCTAAGCTCAGGTGTTAGGATGGTTTTTCCAGCCCTGGGTGAAACGTGCTGCACCGCCAGGTGTGCCAGCCTGGGAGCACCTCGGGAGGCCACCAGCAGCTGCTGTCGTGGGTCCAGGCAGAGGTGGCTGTGCCCAGGGGTGGGCAGGGATGGAGGTGATGCAACATCAGGACAGGCAGCCCATGGCTGAGGTCACTTGGGTGCAGTTCAGTTCCTCATGCAAGGCCTCCCAGCACAAAGCACTTCCCTGGATGCATCTGAAAGTGGTATAGCTCACAAAATTCACAGAGTCACAGAATGACTGGGTTGGAAGAGACCTCCAAGATCATCGAGTCCAACCCAGCCCCAGTGCCACATCCAGGCTTTGTTAAACACACCCAGGGATGGTGACTGCACCACCTCCCTGGGCAGCCATTCCAGAGCTTTATCACTCTTCTTGTGAACAACTTTTTCCTGATATCCAATCTGTATTTCTTTGGTGCAGCTTCAGGCTGTGTGCTCTGGTTGTGTCAGTGCTGCCTGGAGCAAGAGCCCAGCCCCAGCTGAGCACAGCCACCTTATTTAGCTCAGTTTAGGAGTGTCTTGACTGTTGATAGGAGAGATGCTGAAGATGTTCCTGCTCATTGCAGCGGGTTGGACTTGATGACCTTAAGGTCCCTTCCAAACCAACCCAAACCATTCTGTGATTCCATGATGCTGTGCCCATCCCTCCTCTGTCCCAGCTGTGCCACTGCTGGAGGCTGGGCCATTTTGCATGTGTCCAGCCTCCTCCTGGGACCTGGGATCACAATAAAATGGGCAATTCCTACTCCCTGTGTGACATCTCTGTTGGAAAAAAAAAAAACAAAACCCAAAATAACAACATCCCTTTCTACTTCAGAATTTTTCTTTAGTGCTGGTGAAAAACCAATGGGTAGCTGTGCTTAGCAGTCCAGGTCTGCAATCTGTTTGGCTTGAGATCCCAGGATCTGTGGTGAGGATCACAGTGCTGGGAAAGTCCCCAAAAGCCATCAGCCACTGCCCCAGGGCCTGAGCCACAGGGAAATTTCATATCCTATCTATTTAACCCTCAAGTTGCCACCCTCCTCTTCCCATCCACCCCCCTACCCCCCCAATGGTGTGACATTTCTGCATTTGAAGGCATTCCTAAATGGAAGACAGGGATGGAAGGGAACACATGAACAAGGAAAGGATCACAGCAGCCCCAGCAAGGCACAGTGCAGAGGGAAGCCTTAATCCTTTACTGCCTGGCTGCTGGCTGGAGCTGGAAAAGGGGAGGCATGCCTCATGCTAGCTGAGAGAAACTCATGCTGCTCCCTATGCCTTCCCTGGAGAGCGCAGGGACACGGCTGTGCCCTGTCCCTGAGGGTTTGCCCAGCTGCCTTGGAGGCAGGAGGCTGCAAAGTCCAGCCTGCCCAACCCTCATAACTCAGCAGCCACTTCCCAACCTTGGCACTTCTCTCAGGATATCAAACTGTGCCGGCGGGAAGCGCCGGGCCAGGCCAATAAAGGCCAATAAAGGTGTTCCCACGAATTAACAGGAGGAAGAAGGAAAAACCTGTGCCAGTTGGGACTCGCCCCTGGAAGGGGACATCGTCTGGCTGTGCATGTGGCCCTTTGAAGGTGGATTTCAATCCACCCCTGGATGGTGTCACCTATTGGCACCGAGCCCTCCCCAGCTGCCCCCCAGGAGGGTTTTTTCAGCGACACCGGGGGTCACTGCAGCACGCAGCTGGGCCAAAGCACGGCCCGAGCAGGCTCTCCCAAATGTAAAAAGGAAAAAGAGAAAAAAAGGCCAGGCTGGAAGGGGAGGAGGGGAAGGAAGGCAGGCAGTAAACAAGCTGGGTGGAGGACGCTTCCCGGGAGAGGGCGCTGGGTCCGCGGCTGCCGCTTGTCCGCCGGGGCTGGGGCATGAGCCAGCCAGCAAACCCTGCCGGGGCTGGCAGCTCCATCCTGCCACCACTGCCCTGCCCACCCCGGGGGGCTCTGCCGGGCTGGCGTGTGGATTTTTGGGATGGAGAGATGATGTTTACACTGTCAAGCTGCCTTTGCTCCCCGCCTGCCTTCAGGGTTGGTCGGAGCTGCCCAGCCCCGGGGCTTGCAGGGCACGGGGGTCACCCACAGCTCGGGGGCCTCCTCTTGTAAACATCTGGGTGTGTGCGAAGCCAAAGGTGGACAAAGTTACTGGGAAATTAGCAGGTAGAACTGTAATTCCAAGAATTTGGAGCTATCAGAGCTCTCAGATTAAAGAAACCCTCAACAAACCCAGGGAAGAAGGCTGGACACTGCTTTACGTTGCCTGTGGCTTGACAGCTCCCCTTTATGGGAGCTATTTTGGGCACCAGCTCCCGCTCTGCTTCCTTTAACTCAGCTGAGCTGTTAGATTTGGGTGACCACAGCTGAACTTGGGCTGAACGTGAGTTCCTGAGCTCATTTCCGTGGGTAAAACACCACGTTTGCTGGTGTTGGAGCCATTTCTCTGGGCACAGGGTGCAGGAGCGGGGGTGCTGGCAGGAGGCACTTTCTGGGGTGCTGAGGGCAGGCTGTTGCAATGCTCCGTGGCTCTGCCTTGCCCAAGCAATTCCAGGAGGAGAAATGCACCCGATTTTCACCTTGTTCTGGACAGCCTCGGGGGGTTGCCACACACCCATGGCTGCTCCGAGGTGGCGTGAGGATTGAGCCAAGCTGTCCCCGCAGGGAGGGTGGGGATGTGGCTCTTGAGATGGGCGATAAATCAAAAGCCTGGTTTTGGCTAGCACTTCCACCTCCTCCCTCCTGAGGATCCGGCTCCCCCTGGCCACTTTCCCTCTGGATTCTGGCTGTCCAGTGGCCGTGTCCGGGGCAGGGTGGCTGTGATGGCCGGGAGGCTCCAGCTTCTCGAGGAATGGCAGTTTTGGTGCCATCTCCCCGAGGCTGGCACGGGGCACAGCAGGATCCTGTGGCTCCGTGGCAGGCGTGTGGGTGGCGTGTGCTCGCCCTGGGACCTGCGTGTGCCCTCGGCGTGCGCACACACGGGTGGCAGCTCCGTCTGCTCCTGCTGGCGTGGCTCTCCTGCCCCTTGGATCCGGGCTGGGACTTGCACGGAGCTGCAGGAGACGGGACAAGCGACCCTGTGGGGTGGAGACCCGGACATTGTGGAAAAATACTGGGCACTGCCTGCGGTTTGCTGGGTGCTCCCATGGTGGGGCTGGGGGATTTCTCCCCCCTCGAGTGACAGTGAGCGATCCTTGCAGCGAGGCTCTGCAAATCCAGGTGCTGGAGGCTGTGACCTGCTCCAGGGAGGAGAAGGGGGACACCGAGGCTTTTGTCCCCCTCCCAAGAGCGGGCACCAAGCCAAAGCCTGTGCCCTGGTCTCGGTGGAGCTCCGGTGCCTCCCTCTCTTCCCCCTTTTCCCGGAGTGGCCGTTTTCCATCCCTGCGAGCTCTGCCAAGGCAGCCGCTAATGTAAACGCTGCCGAAAGCCCTGGATCCGCTCCCGCCTGCCCAGGGGTTGTTTTTCCGGTGGGGAGCGTTGTTAAAAAGACCCCAAACCCACACAACCTCTCCGCTTTCTGCCGTCTTCCCTCAGTTCTCCTCACCCACCCACCCTTTCCACCCTTGCGCCCCTTTGCCGGGGCCGGAGCGGGAGGAGGAAGAGGAGGAGGAGGCGGCAGGCGGGGTGGTGGCCCTGTCCCCCCTCCCGTGTCCCTCCCGTCCCGCCCGCTGCCCAATCCGTGCGGCGGGGCCGGCGCTGCTCCGCCATAAAGGGGCGGCGGGCGCGGCCCCGGGAGCCGAGCGTGGGAGCCCCGCGCCCGCCGCAGCCGCCGCCGAGCGCAGGTACCGGCCCGGGGGGACACGGGGACACGGCCGTGCCGCCACCCGCCGCAGCCCCCCGGGCTCGGGAGGCAGCCCCGGGGAGGTCTTCCACGGGAAAATTCCTCCTTTGGGGGAAGGGGAGGATGGGGCGGGGAAGGGGAGGAAGTGGCGGCTTGAGTTTTCTGTTGGAAACATTCCCTTTGCAGTTGTTGTGGGTGTTGTTTTTACCCCCACGAGGCTCCTCAGCTGCTCCCTGGAGATGCACGCGTGGGAGATGCTTCTGGCAGGGCAGCGGGCGCGCTGGGAGCCGCGGCGGGGTGGGCTGGGGACGGCTCAACCCGCGGGACAGCGGGATGTCGGAGCGACTTCCCCAGTCAGTCCGCATTTCCAAACATTTCCGAGCTCCCTGGAAAACAGCCGGTGCTGTGGGTCGGACGCCAGTGGGCTGGCTGGCCATAGGAGCCCGGCCCGCAGGGCTCTGGGGATGCTGCAAGCTCCCAAACACTGGTCCTAGAGCGACCCCGGCCCATCCCGCCTCCCCTCTGCTGCCTGGCGTGCTCAGGGCTCGTGTGTGCTGCCTGTTGCTTTTCCTGCTGCCCTGGGACCGGGCTTGGATAACCTCAGCCGGGCTGAGAAGGCAGCTGGGGCAGAAAAGCCCTCCTCGATGATGCAGATTTATTAAGAAAGCCCCAGCTAAGCTTTCCTTGCATTAGCCTTGCTCTTGAGCGGAGTGTGGAGGTGAAAAGTTCACGTGGGGCTAAGGAGCCCTTTGGAAGTCTGTTGCTCTGGTTTATTAGCAGGAGTTTGGTGTTTTGAAGGGTTTCTGGAGCAGGGCTAGCCTGAACTGCTGTGTGTTCTCCCTGAGGAATGACAGGGAACCGCTGGAGATGGCAGCCAGCCCTGCGGCCGAGCTGTCTCGTGCTCCTCCCTGGCCTTGGGTGGGGAAGGGGGGCTGCTGAAAAATGTGGGCACGCAGGAAAGGGCTCACAGCTGGGGCTGTTTGTGATTCCCCCCCGCAGGAACCCTCTCGTCAGGACTGCAGCCATGGCCACCTCAGCGAGCTCCCACCTGAGCAAAGCCATCAAGCACATGTACATGAAGCTGCCGCAGGGGGAGAAGGTGCAGGCCATGTACATCTGGATCGACGGCACGGGGGAGCACCTCCGCTGCAAAACCCGCACGCTGGACCACGAGCCCAAGAGCCTGGAAGGTGAGAGGGCAGGTGCAGCACTCGTAGCCCCTCACTGGGTGGAGGAAGGATGCCATTTCTCTCTTCTTGTGGCAGAAGGATGGTTTTTAGGGAAGACGTTTCCTCCTCAGCCCTTCCAGTTACCTCTCTCCCCATGTACCATAGGGGAACGTTCCCAGCTCTCCAGATGTGGAGTTTCAGGGAGATGCCTGGGGCTGGGAGCCCGTCCTTGGTGCTGTCCTCGCCGTGGAGGGGCTGCTGGCAGGGGCTGGGGGCTGTTGGCAGGGGCTGGGCTGCCCATTGACTCTTGAGTACTCGTTTTGGCCGGAAGTAGTTTGGCAGAAGAAAGTGCAGGGGAAAGAATGGAGCTATCCGGTGTAATTAAGAGCTTGTGTCCCTCAGAACAAACAGTCCCAGCTTACACAATAATAGCATTAGGATTTTCCCCAGGTTGCCATGGAGCTGGCTGGAGACAGTTATGAAATGAAAATACTGTGTGTGACTGAGCAGAATTATCTTTTTTCTTTCCTTTTTTTTTTTTTTTTTTTTTTCTTTTCCCCTCTCTACTTTCCCCTTTTCCCTCTGAGGGAGTGGTTGACACAGCTCCTTGGAAATCTTTGTGCTTCCCATCCTCCCTCTTTCCCCCTGGGATATGGAGGAGATAACATTGCCCGGGTGGAGTTCTGGGCTTTGACCTGGAGGGCAGTGCTCAGGATGGAAGGGTGGGCAAGGGGCCACACTCCCCTTCCATAGGAGATTCCACCTCTCTGATTTACCTTCCCACCTTCTTAAGGCCTTGTAGTGTGATTGAGGGTATGGCTCCCCTCGGAAGATGGCTCATGGTCTGCCCTCTCCCAGCTGAGGGGACTGGGTGCTTTCTCATCCCTGTGGTTGTTGTGACATGGGAAATGTCCTCAGTGCTACTCTGTTCACTCGGGTTGGCCAGCAGCCCAGCAACTTGTTATTTTCCAGGGTGGCCGGGGACTTGCACTCCTGTGATTTTTTTTTGCTTGTTTTGGGTTTTGTTTTGTTGGTTTTTTTTGCTTCCCCCACTTGGAACAAAATCAGCTGAGCTGGGACTAAACCTCTTCTCTATGAGCATCTTCACCTGTGTCTTACTGGAGGCCCATGGGTCACTGTGGCTGGTTCCTCTCTTTGCTCCAGATCTCCCTGAGTGGAATTTCGATGGCTCCAGCACCTACCAGTCCGAAGGCTCCAACAGTGACATGTACCTGCGACCTGCTGCCATGTTTCGGGACCCTTTCCGCAAGGATCCCAACAAACTCGTTCTCTGTGAGGTCTTCAAATACAACCGCCAGTCTGCAGGTGAATGAACGGACCTTCTCCCTTCTCCTGGTGGAGGTGGTGTTCCCGGGAAGGGGAATGGGAGACCTGCCCAGTGCTGTCTGTGCCCTTAGCATGACACAGGAATAACTTGAAAGTAGAGGGCAAACAAAGTGCTGGTGATGGATAAAAGGCTGGGCTTGGGATTCTTCAATGCTGCTGGGACTCAAAGTGTAAAATAGGTGGAAATGGGGAGTGGAGGTGGCACCGCTCATGAGCCTCGTGTCGCTTTTCCGTTCCAGAGTCAAATCTCCGGCACACCTGCAGGAGGATTATGGACATGGTGTCAAACCAGCACCCCTGGTTTGGGATGGAGCAGGAGTACACTCTCCTGGGGACAGACGGACATCCATTTGGCTGGCCTTCCAATGGCTTCCCTGGACCCCAAGGTAATCTTCTGGGAGCCTGGAGCGTGTCAGGAGTGTTTGAACTGAAATCTGTGTGGCACAGCTTCAGGCAAGCTGAAGGGCTCCAAGGTGTTCCTTGAACTGAAGGTGGACAGTAGAAAGCAGAATATTGGCAAAAGCCAACCATGAGATTAAATCTGTCACAGAAAGACTGACGTGGGGATAGGCCATGTCCAAATTTGCTGCTGGGGACAACAAATTTGTTGGTCTGCAGGGGACTTAAACTCAGGGGAGAACTTGCTCTCTGTCAGTGTTCTACCCTGCTAGTTCTTCCATGAAAAACACACCTTGGGGCTTTTGAAGCATTCTCTGTACGTGCTGGGTCTTCACTGGATGTCAGCAATTTTCCCTGTGGAGCTGACATTCCCCTGTGCCGTTGCAGGTCCGTATTACTGCGGCGTAGGGGCAGACAAAGCCTATGGCAGGGACATTGTGGAGGCCCACTACCGGGCATGCCTTTATGCCGGCGTGAAAATCGGAGGAACCAACGCAGAAGTGATGCCAGCCCAGGTAAATCATGCTAAGACGCCTCATGGAGTGAGAGGGTAGCATGGAAAAACCCCAAGCAGCGGGAGCTGTGTCTGCCTGCTCTGAGCTGTGTGGCTGTGCCCAGCATCAGGGGGTGGGACGTGCCTGTCTCCACCCCACTGAGCCCCTGACGCCTCCTCCTTGCAGTGGGAGTTCCAGGTGGGACCATGCGAGGGGATTGAGATGGGGGATCACCTCTGGATCGCGCGCTTCATCCTGCACCGGGTGTGCGAGGACTTCGGGGTCGTGGTGTCCTTCGATCCCAAACCCATCCCTGGGAACTGGAACGGTGCTGGCTGCCACACCAACTTCAGCACCAAGAGCATGAGGGAAGAAGGAGGTCTCAAGTAAGTGTTCGGGTTGTTTAGTGGGCAGCAGGATTTTGGATGACATGGGAGTTTGGTGCTTGGCATGGCATCTGAGTCTTCTGGATAGGGTTTTTTTGGTCGTTTTGTTTTTGTGGTTTCTTTTTTTCTTAGTTTTTTTTTTTTTTTTTTTTATAATGACACATTCTCTTCTTGATGCTTGGTGGGCAATTCAGCCAGCAGTACAGCTCCACCAGTACAGGATGCAGCTATCTCTAGCAGCCTGTCCAGCTCCTGACCTTCCAGTGCTGGGAACAAACAAACAAACCAACCCAGCACAGGACTTTTTAAATTGTATTTTTATAGCCATGATGAAAGAGAAAGACCATTTGCTTCCTCCGGGCAAGGCTGCCATGTTTTCTTAAAAGATGAACATCCTAAAAATGCAAACTGTGAGTTCCTGCACATGACTGTTGTGCAGTCAGGGACCTTGTGTCACTGGAGCTGTGTGGAAGGATCCATCCTGGCGGCTCTGGTTTCTTGCCTTAATCTTAATGCTGCCCTGAGATAATGGGACAGCCCATGACTCTGTGAGCTTCACAAATGGAAACCCCAGTGTTGAGAGCTCTCCTGTCCGAGAGCAGGTGGAAGTGGGAAGTTTAACTGGTGATGTCTCACAGATGGCACTCCCTGGGGAGCCTGTGGGATTTGACCACAAGACACTTTTTCTGGGTCAGCAGGAGGAGCGGAGAGAAACCCTGTGTGGGGATGAACAGCTGAGCGGGTTGTGGGGCACAAGGCATCATCACAAAGTGCCTTGGGAACAGCCATTAATCTCGTTGTCACTTTGACACGACAGCCAGAGGCATCCAGCTCGTCCCATCCCTCACCGTGCCACCCCTATCCCTCCCTCCCTCCGCAGGCACATCGAGGAGGCCATCGAGAAGCTGAGCAAGCGCCACCAGTACCACATCCGTGCCTACGACCCCAAGGGGGGGCTGGACAATGCCAGGCGCCTGACGGGCTTCCACGAGACGTCCAACATCAACGAGTTCTCGGCCGGCGTGGCCAACCGCGGCGCCAGCATCCGCATCCCGCGCAACGTGGGCCACGAGAAGAAGGGCTACTTCGAGGACCGCCGGCCCTCGGCCAACTGCGACCCCTACGCCGTGACGGAGGCGCTGGTCCGCACGTGTCTCCTCAACGAAACCGGGGACGAGCCTTTTGAGTACAAGAACTAAGCAGACTGCGCCCCGCGGCCGCCGCCGCCGCCTCCCCCCGCGCTCCCCGCGCCCCTAAAGTTCCCTTCTAGCTGTAATCCCGAGGGTACAAGATAACATGTTTCGTGTCTCAGTAACTCTTGTTGTCTTGAGGTGGGGAGGAGGGCAGGTTTAGTTTTATCCGTGTCTGTTTGTCGTTGACTCTTCGGAAGACGAGAGGAGGACGGGGTGTTAGAGAACTTTTAACCACTGTTTATTTTTTTTGTCTAATTCATGTGTACATCCGATGGGATCCAGTGGCTTCCAGGAACAGACTGCACACGCAGAAAACCCGTAGGAGAGGAGAAAGCTTAAAACAGAGCCAGATTTGGGGGGCCAGCCCTGCTGGTGGCTCTCTGCAGACTGATGGCTGGCTGAGGTTGGTGCCTCTCTGTGGAGAAGGGAAGATGGGAGCTGTGGTGACGGGAGCTGTGCGTGTGCTCCTGCCTGGATGGGGACATGATGGGGACATCGTCATCCTCCGGCCACTCTGAGGTTTCTGGGAATCTTCTGGCATTGAGGAGAACTCCTGGTTCTGTCACTGGAAGTCAACCCATCTCTGGCTCATAACACAGAGTGAAGTAGTATTTTTCTATTTAAATATAAAAACGGAAAAAAAATTATATATGAAAGTGTTTTTTTCTTGAAGAGATGACGTTCCAATGCCTCATCCAGCCGGAGCAGGCAGAGCTCTTGCGGATGCAGTCAGATGCAGGTGGGACTGAGGGTGAGCTCGGAGGGAGACTTGGGATGAGATTTGTTCCATCGTGGAGTGGAGCTTGCAGGAGGGGGTTCCCAGAGCAGGAAGCCTGCAGAAGCATTTGTTACTGTAATTCAGGTGGCCGTGACATGCTCGGAGTGGGAGGAAGGTGTCCTGAACCAAGTGTTGACTGGTCAACAGCGTTCTGGACAGAGCTGTGCCTGTGTCACCTGTCCAGCAGGGCTAGCACGTCACTAAAGCAGGGCTTTGGATAAAGGTTAAACACAAAAGAAAAAAAAAAAAAAAAAGAAGAGAAGTTTTAGATTTTTTTTCATAATGTTCTTAGTTTCTCCAACTGAATGGTTTTACAGAGACCGTTGATGCCACTGTTGTGTCCTGGCTCTCTCGGGCTGCCTGCCACACAGCCAGGATGATGGGGGCTAGGAGAAGGGAAGGGAGAGGCCACCTGTCCCTCCCAGCCAGCCCTGTGCCTCCCAGCTGCTGCTGGGGGGTTCAGACATTCTGGGATTTTACACTTGGGTATCTTAGATGGTGCCAGTTATATTCCGTTGCATTTACACTTCTTCCAAATAGTTTGGTTGTTTTTTTTTTTTTTTTTTTGTAATAAAAAAGGAAAAAAAGAACAAAACCTTCAATCTGACCTCTGCAGTCTCTTTTTGTACGTGTGTTGCCTTCACCATTTGAAAGAATTTTGACTCTGATAGTGGGTAGATGTGGCTTTTCATTTGTGGGTTGGTTTTTTTTTTTGCGGGGGGGGGAGGAGTGGTCAGGGGTCTTTCAATCCGTGTGTGCTCTCCAGAAAATGGGAATTTGTCAGCAGTGGTTGGTTCTGTGGTGAGGGATGGTCCAGCTCTGGCTTGAATGGGATCCTTTTGGGATGGGAAAGGGCCTGGGCTTGTGAGTGTCCATAGGGAGGGTTATGGGATTGCTACAGGTGTTTGTGCATTTCCCAGCCTCCTCACAAGTTCTACATGATGTAGAAATCCTACAGAAAACAAAACCCCAGCAAACTTAATTTAAAAGGCAGCTTTGTGGAAGAAGAACCTTTCCCATTCTCCCTAAGGAAGAAAATGAGAGAGAAATTAGAAAATGCCGCTCGTCCTCCTTTGGCATAAACCCAGTCATTCGGGAAAATAACCCAGGCAGTAGAAATGTGGCACTTTGCTCCCGTGGTCCTTTATTTAGCCCGTGGTGCCATTCCCCAGCTCCCCAGGAGGTGCTTCATCCAGGAGAGGATGCTTTAACCATTCCCACCTTTAAATCTGGATTAACTGCACCTGAGCCTCCTGCTGGGCTGATGGGGCCATTCCTGCCATCACGTTTTTCGTGGACCAGCTGTTTTCCTGCATCTCCCTCCTGGGGAACATTGGAGGCAGCACCTTCCTCAGCACAGTCCCAAAATTACCCTGTCCCTGTGCTTGGTGTGATTGGAACAGAGGCGAAGTGAACACCTTTCCTTTCCTCCCATCCTGACACGGCCACAAGAACTTGGGAGCTGGGGTGCTGCAGCCAAAACAAACCCAGGGCTAACTCAGGAGCCTGGAAATCTTCACGTTTTGTTCTGATTTGGGCTCAGGGGCAAGGCAGCTGCTCTTCCTTATGCATTCCAAGAAAACGTTACAGAGGAAAGAATTGGATTTCACCTGAAGTAAGAGAACTTTTCTAAAGGCGTTGGCACAGAGGGAAGGAAAAGACACAGTTTGGTTTTCTGTTTGTTTTTCTTAAAGATCCTGGTCTTTCAAACACTGAGAATCATTGAAGCTGAATCTCCCTCCAGACACTCTTTCCTCCTGGGGAATAAAAAAAATTGGGAAAAGGGTACATGGCTCAGTTTTGGCCACTGAGCATCACCAAGGCAGGAGGAGCTGATGGGTTGCAGGTTTTGTGTTTTGCTATGGAATTGGTTTGGTTTGGAAGGGACCTTGAATATCATCTCATTCCAACCCCCTGCCATCGACAGGGACAACTTCCTTGGGTTGCTTTGGGACAAACAGCATCTCCCTGTGCCATTGGGGTGTCCCTGAGGAAGATGCCATCTCCAGGGTATCCCTCAGGCTGATAAGGGGAGCAGGCATCAATCCTTTGCTCCTCCAGCTGCCCTGAATGTAAATTTAGGTCAGGAGCTTGATGCTTAATGGTTCCTCTTGTTCTCAGCTGAGAAAGCATTTATCCACTCACTGCACAATTACCCGGCTGAAAACAAGGTCAGAACAACATTGTGCTGGGAAATGGCTTTTCAGATCATTATTAAAAGTATAGGGGGGGAAAATATTATAATGAATTAGAAGGGGGGAAGAAAATAATTTATTCCCCCTAGACATTGTTTTCTGACTTTTTGCCTAAAGCCTGCTTGCTGAATCTGCTTTGTAGTTACCTAAACACCATTTCCCAGCTCTGTAGGGTAGGGAGGCCTTCTCTTAAGGCCAAGGGGCTCTTACAAATTGAGACTGAAACCCTCAGAAGCTGAATTTACGTGTTATGCATTCATAGAAAACATTTTGACTTTTGATCTGAGCCTCTCAGGAGGAAGTGAATCTCTTTTCCCTGTACTCACACATCCTTAAAATGTGAATAATGATATAGCAAGGATCAGTCCCAAAGGGTTTGCTGGGCACATCCAAGCATCAGGAACTGCTCCAAATGAAGCAGCCAAAAATAGCAGCAGCTTTTTGAAGTGCCTGTTGGTTGGTTGTGCTCCGTTTTAATCAAACACCAGCTTAGGAGACAAGGCTGCCCCTAACCCATTAATATATCTGCTCACATGCCAGGCTTCTCCCCACAGCTGGATTTTAAGGCAATGAAAAGAAGATTAGCCACAGCTCCCTTCAAACACAGCCTGGAGCACATGAGCTAATCAAGATCACACTTGAAGCATCTTTTTGTGCCAGGCTGTGCCAGCCCAGTTATTGCCTGGACACAAGGGATTTTCCCTTTCTGCAGAGCCTGGTGCATCAGGTGTGGCTGCTTGGATTTCTCCTGCCCTTTCCCACTCCCACTGATGCTGCTCCAGTATCCCCATCCCTCTTCCCTTACCATTTTGTGGGAGTTTTTCAGCGCTGTTTGATCTTCCTTGATGACCTTTGGTTGGTAGGTCAGCCTTCACAGGCTGGCACAGCCTCTGGCTGAACACATCTGGAGGAGGAGGAGGAGGAATCAGCCAGCCTTAGCTGGGCCAGCATTGCTGAGCTGACTTTTGGATGCCCTCACCTGGGGGAGAAGAGAGGCAGGAAGGGAGAAGTTGCTGGGTGAAAGTGTTTTTATTTCTCCAACCTGTGTTTCCCCATCTTCCTGGAGAGCTGGTGCTGGGACTGTCCTGCATCTCCTTCTGCCCACAGAGGATGGGAAGGAATGGCCCCAGGCACACACTGCTCAGGGGGTGATTTGCTCTGCAAGAGCCTCTGTTTGGGCTTGAAGCTGCTGTTATCAGAGCAGCTTTGTACTCTTGGAATGCCTTTTGGAGCTCCAGCAGCTCCTCTGGTGTGGGGCCCGGCTGAGATCTACACTTGCAGTTCATCAGCTGATAAAAGTGATGAGGTTTCCACCTTAGGACAAGTGGCTGGAAGTTCTCTGTGCCCTCAAAGGGTGCTGGAGAAAGGTCAGGTGTGATAATATCTCCTGGGAGCCCTTTGAGGAAGCTGGCAGAGCTGGGAGGGGACTCCTGCCATCACACACATCCATAACCCAGCTCCAGCTGAGCCAGCATCTCATCCCACTCGTTCAGTTACTGATTAAACTGAGGACAGCTGCTTCGGGAACAAGTGGCAGCTCTTGAAAGGGGAGATCTCCTTAGGCCTGCCTGGCTTCCCCAGCCAGCTGGAGGCAGACTCAGACCTGGGCTGGTTCCTGGGTGGGCCCTCCACCCACGAGTGTCTCTCCAGGCTCTCCAGCTGGGACTGATGACCTATTTGCAGTTTCAACACGTCCTGTGTGGATGTAAATTGAACCCTGACTCTCTGCTTGCTGACGAAGGGGCCAGGCCATTAGTAAGGAACAGCTTTTCCCAAGGCCATGCAGGTTGTGGGGGATATCAGTCACTGCGGGATGACTAAAGATGTCACTTGTGAATTGCCTGCTTCACGAGTGGTGATCTCAGTCTGAGCCTCGTGACTCCACCCTGAGCTGGGTGTCTGGGGACTGTTTCTCGTTTTTGTGCACTGATCTCTGGTGGGAACGTGTGGAGAAGGGTTCTGGGCAGACACAATCCTACTGCTCTCCACACTGAAGCATCATCTCCAGGGGCTCCATTCCCATTGGGAGATGATGTGGGTCAGAGCATCTCTGAGCTGCCTCTGGAGGTGTCTGTGTTCAGAAGGAATGGAATTTGGGGCTGGCCAGTGGGAGATGATGTGGGTCAGAGCATCTCTGAGCTGCCTCTGGAGGTGCTGTGTGCTTCTTGCATGTTAGCCCCCCAAAACCTGCAGTGGTGGACCTCAACGTGAACTTGCCTGACAGAGGAGAAACCCAGGGTCAGAGAGGCAAGCTGGGAGGAAAATCCACATTCTGTGCCTCCAGACTGAACACCAGGAGTGCAGCTCTTCACAGCCTTGCAGGAGAACCGGGCCCTTCTCCCTCACTGCTCCCTTCCTCTCCTTCCCCAGTGACACTGCACTGCAGGGGGGGCAGCCAGGCTTCACCTCAGCCAAAAAATGCCTTTCTTTCCCTTTCTTTCCTCCCATCCTGGCCTGCCCACAGGCTGGCATGGCCGTGCTATTTTGCTTTCATAAGCTGCATTATGTAAGCCGAGTCTTGAGTGGGGATGCGGTGCCAACTTGGACTCCGCAGCGGGAAGGAGCCACATTCCTCAGCACGGGGTTTAATCCCTGCCTCCAGCCACAGTCGGTTTGCTGGGAGGAATCCGAGGGCTGTGCCGAGGTTTCTAATCCCTTGCC